TCCTTTCATGTAGATGAAATACGATACAGGAAATTTTTTTATTCCTACCGAATGTGCAATATGAAAATATTCATATGTGTGCCATCTGTTCTTCATTAAATTAGTTTTTCCTACAAATCTAGTATAAACATTACTGCGTATTGTTTGATTGGGTTTCTGAAACGCATTTTTAAAAATGATGATCATAACAGCTACCTCGATATGCGGGATTGGTATTTAGAAATGATACATACACTGAATTTGATGTTTTGGGATTGAAACATTTTAATTTAAAGGGTAATAATTTGACTTCTCTATAATTTGACTTTTCAGTCATATCAAATTGATGAAATTCTAGAGATAAGTTTGTTTAGAATTATATTGGAATGAGGCATATGATTGATACTAATGTGAACTGTGTTTGAAATCGGTTCTTGATCTCCTTCTTCTCAATACAGTTTCTGAATATTCTAGTGATGTTTGCTGTTTACATCCTGTTCTAACATTAAATGTTGTCGATCAATCCTTAAATTCATTGCAAAAAGCAAGTCAAATCCTCAAAAGTTCCCAACATTTCAACAAGAACTTAAGCATTAAAAACCGGAAGTTGTCAGCAGGTTGCCTCAGCTGATAACCTTAATTGTGAACGCAAGGCAGCAAGCGATCAACTTCCGGTAGCAATTGGTTTCAGAAAAGTTTCATACGATTTTTATTGACAGCAACAAAGAAGTGGTAGGAAATATAGGTCGCAATCAGTCATATTCATCAATAATTTTACCGTTATTCAATGCGATTTTTTCAACCATAAAGAACGTCCTCAAAAACAAAAAAGTTTTATTTTATTATCCCAAAGTGAATAAATAAACTCTATCGTATTAAAAACAAAAATATGTTTTGCTGAGAACTGCAATAATTTATTGGAGCAACGTTTGTTTAGGATTTACAAACATCCAAGTCGTCGTACATCAAAAACAAGAAGATATTCCTTTTCTCGAAAAAGTCATAAATCTTTACAGTTATTCACTCGAGATATTGCAGAAAATAAACAATTGTCGGTCTCATCTGCTCAATCAGGTTATGAATCATCCCTTCAAATCTGCTTTCCACAAGTGCTATGCATTAATTTTCCCAAATGCACTTTTCTGCAACAATAAAATAAAATAAAATAAATATAATAGCAGGAATAAATGATAAACAATTATGGTTTATGGCCTGTCTTTATTCTCCTGATTCCTGTCTGTCATATTTACAACAAGGGAACTGAAATGTGCGTGATGTAGAGCTATTGTACATGTGGTAATTTTCGTCTTACACAATAGAGCTCATAAAAGGGGCTCGAATGGCCAGCACAAAAAAAAAACTCGCGAGTCAAAAAAAAAAAGAAAACAAATGTTCATTATATTAATTGATACGCGAGACATACATACGAAACACATAATATGTCGTGTGCCATGGAAATTTACAATTTTTTTAGACGTTCCTTAAGCCTGCTCTTTTCCATTTCCACCCTCAACATGTTTTCTTTCTCTTCCTTTGTGCAAGCATTTCAAAATAGCATAAAAATAATAATATTATATACACAGAAAATGATTTCTTTATCGATAAGGAGTCGTTTACTTATCACGTCCATCATTTAGGGGAAGAGGCAGACTTTTTTTAAAACTTCAATCAAATAATAATTTTGAATGTAAATTTTTGTAAGGATTGTTATAAAAGTCCAAGGAGTGGAAGCTATGGATTAATCCTGAAAAATCTCAAAAATCCTACCTCAGGGATTTTTAAGATTTTTCAGGATTAATCCTGAGTCTCCACGCCCTGTAAAAATCCCAAATATTTTGATGATGGACGTAATAAGAGTATGACCCCGAAATGAAAAAAATATAAAATTTTATTTTCGTTGAAGGCTTTGGAAAGGAAGTGATTACGATTTAGAAAAAGGGGGAAAGAATATGTACAACATTCGTATGACTTTGAGCTCTACAATGATTTTCATAAAAATTCGGTGATGATCGCTTAAGAATTTTTATTTATTCATTCATCTCGACGATTATATTTGGCTGTATAGATAAATAAGGCATTGGAAGAAGAAGTAGAAGAGGAAGGAACGAGAAACAACAAGAAGAAAATTCAGGGGAACTTCCCTTATATGACTTATTATTTATGAGATTATCGTAGAATGATAGAAGTTCCAATGTCTCGAATATTTTCATAAATTATGCATGAATCGAACGAATGTAGAAAGGTTTCGGTTGTATCATAAATAAAGACTATGAGATCATCAAGTTCTAACGCTACAATTTAAATTATGATTCTTAGAATCATAAAAATAGTCGTAATTTTCACACGAAGTTTTAAGTACATAACTTGTTATTATGAGTTATTGTTTAGCTTTTAGGGTCGATAAATGTATGTATTATCCTCTTGAGGTATTTTTGATTGCGACATAATTATTGCAATTTTGAATGGTTTGCATAAATTTGCATATGAAGCTCATTATGGTCAAATTATTGCTAAATTACAAGCTTTATTTTTAAACTGTGGCTTATTTTGATGTTCTTTCAATTGCGGTTCCTAGGTTCATTCTTAATAATGACAATCAAGAGTCTAATACTAACACACATTAGAAAATCCTCAATATATCTTTCATTACATATAAAGTACATCATAAACCTCATTCCTAGAAAGAATTTCTTATGTGACTCAGATTGGATTCCTTCTATTAAATCCAATAATGCAATGAAATTTCAGATGTTTTATCTTATGAGTCATAAAAAATAAAAACATTAGGAAATGTGCCAAAAGAAAAATGGGATTCGGGAATTCCACCCCAGGCATTTCAACAATTTCTTTAAGATTTATTCATAGAAAACCTCCGATTAATAACCCCTACACAAAATCCCATAGAATTCTATTCAGCATGAATTGCATAAATTTAGTGCAGCATTATTTGGATAAAATTTAAAAGGAACTGCTAGTGTGTCATTTTGATCTGATTGGGCGAGACTAATGGATACATAAATATAGAACAAAACTGGGATAGAGAAGAACTTTTATGACGATAAAGAAAATAATTTAATTTAATTTATGTCCTCAGTCTGTTATTTATGATGATAAAAATTGAATGTGACTTTAAGATATCCAAAAATAGTAATAGTAATAAAATACGAATTTTTCATAATTTAATTGAATTTTGTTCAACATCAGTTTTGGTTCATCAGCCGTTACAACCTTCGAGATGAATTTAAATCTCCTTTTTTAAAAACTATAAGTTTATCTGAACAATAAAAATCAATAAATATCAAAGAGCCTAGCAATTTAAATAAATTCATGTACATACATGTACACACACGCCCATTAATCAAATTATCTATGCATCTAACTCAGGGGCGTAGCCAGGGGGCCATAGGGGGCCCGGGCCCCCCCTACGAAAATCTGATAATTGTTTTATTAAGTATTTATAGAGAAGAACCAGTTAATGTAAAGGAAGTGATGAAAGAAATGTCAAAATTAGCACGAAAAATTAAATTTAATGTATGAATAATGAATTAAATATTTAAACTTATGAAGAATGAATATAGATTTAAGGATACAAAATAACGGTTTTTTAATTTTTGAAAATGGGACCCCCCCCCCCTTAAAAATTTTCTGGCTACGCCCCTGATCTAACTCATCCATGAGACATCGATCCCATAAATATGAGTTGATCTATGAGAGGTATATAGTTTACTTATGAGATGATTGAATATGTATATGCTCTATTACAACGATTGTGATAACGGAGATATAGTTTTACAGAATTAATTTTCAATCCTCCTGAGTAATGTGTCTTCCTGATTGTGGTCCATTAAAATACAACTTTATTGGTTATGGTTTAATATAGACTTTATGTCTCATTCTCAAACTGTTAATAGTTTGATAAGCTGTAAACAAAATATTTTTTCAGGATTCTGTGCTTTACAACTAATAAAATTACCAACTTTTTCAATTTTAAATATAAAAAAAATGATGCAACGTCAAATTGAAATGATGCCAAAGCGAATTCAAAAGATGCAAATATGAACCGAATTTTTAAATTATTTCCAATCGTTACATTGTAAATTAATAACTTTAGATAAACTCTGGTCAATTGACCAATTCCAAAGCATTTTACATCCCAAAACAATTGATTCTACAACTCAGGCCTCGTTTAAATAAACTAATTCAATTAGATTATCTACGTAGTAAATTTTTTAAGTGAAATCATCGCATTTTGCTTACAAACTGTATGCTTATTGAGATATAAATTTATTATGATAGAGATTTTATGTGTATCATGTGGAAGGCAGGCAATGAGAGTGTACGAAAGCTACTTGACATATTTCGATTGCACTAAGATAATATGATACATTAGTTTTTATTGAAAAATTATACTTAATATATTGCAATTCACTCTTGAATTCACTTTTTGTTTTTTCGTCGATTGAGCTTCCATCAATGTTGTTTATAGTTCATTTGCCTTGACACTGCGGAACAGTTTTCGTTTTGTAAATAAGTTTTTATATTCATTTAAATAAAAATAGACGTCGTGAAAAAAAAAATAATTTCCATTTTGGATTATTCATTTTAATTTTTCCATATTAAGTTGTTCTTTATTCTGAATATGCACCATGCAGACTGACAGAAAAAAATAAAACTTGTGATTCATAAATGAAAAATCATCGCATGTGAGCGATGAGAAAAGCATAAAAAGCAATTTCCGTTTTAAATAAAAAGAAGAAAGAAAAATTGCCTCGACAGTTTAAATGAGAAAACTACTTTATTTCATGCATCCATCTATCAAAATTTCGGAGTTTGACTGAGAGATGTATGAGACATTTAGAACAACTTCATCGAACCATAACAAATTTTACTAGCTCACTGTGTAATAATAGAGAAATTTGTCATCATCATTAACATGTGTTCATAACCATGTGCTCATAAATTAACGGTTTATTTTTGAATTTTTAACGGAATTATTCAATTTAAAATAAAAAGTAAACAATGAAGTTGCATCCATTTTCAATTAAATTCGAAAAATTAGAGTGAAAAATCTTATTTAATTAAGTTTTAAGTGTATTTCAGTATAATTTTATCAAAACTTATGACAAATCATATAGCAAACAAGTCGTTCTTCATGTTTACTGTTGGAAGTAACACAGTATCTGAAAAGATGGTGAACAAAAGTACGATCAAGTTTTAATGAAAGTGAAAATGAGTTTATTTTGTTTACTTAATTAAAGTTGTAGTTAATTTACGCAACAATCTCGTTTTGTATTATTATTCTTTTCTCTCTGTTGTGCCTTTCGCATTTTCTGCTTTTTTAAAAGTTGACAAATTGAAAAAAAAGTTTATGCATCGTTGATGTCTTTAGAGATGCTAATTAAGTGGTATTGTTGAGTCTCAGAGTTGCTAGACATGATATTGTGCCTGAAAGCTGGTCATAAATTACTTTTGTGGCTTACTGGCATACATAAAGAACTATTGTTTACTGGATCTTAGATCCAGCTGATAAGGTTTTAGTTGACGTACAGCCAGTGTCTATGCATAGATTACCCTGTAAGACTGATATGCATCATAAATAGCAACTCTGATCTGTTGAGTCTAAATTAAATACAAAATACAGTATAGAAGTTGAAACAAATGAATTGTAGTGCAATTAAAATTTGTGGGGAGATTCTTTTGTTTGGTTTCTGTCAACTTGAAATTTGATTCAACAAACAGAACCATGAAATATTATTACAATGAGGGAAAACTACATAGCCGCAGTAGGCATGACAAGAACTTTATAACAAGACTGAAATCTTATATGCACATTTTTTGTATCTATTTTTACAGACATTCGTCTACAACTGAATGAACAACTGCGATGTCTAGATATTCGAGTCGAATCACAGATCTCATTAATTCAAGAATTACAGGAATTCTATAGGTAATGAATATGCTTTTCACATCAAAAGACACATACAATTTCCAAATTAATAAATCACAACTAAATTTATAACTTTTTTCATCCATCGACGTTTATAGACGACGGGGAGAAGTGGAACTAGATTATAGTAAGAGTTTGGAAAAGTTGGCCAAGAATCTACAATTAAGGCACAAGGAGCAGAAACAAAAGTAAGTGAATTGTGGGAATTTCTTGTTTTAAATTTCAAAGAAGAATAATACTTAATTATAATTTAATTACAACAGTAGACGCGAGCAATGGCCAATATTTTCTTCTTATGCATGCTGGCAACAGCTCATTCAACAAACAAAAAGCTTGGCTCGTGATCATGCAACATTATCAGACATTTACTCAACGCAACTAGTACAACGTCTTCAAACAGTTCATGATGATTGCCAGAGGATTTATAAAAAGTGTCGAGAAATTGGCTATGAGATACATGAAGAAATTCTTCGTGTATTACAAGAACTTCACACAACAATGAAGACTTATCATAGTTATCAGCTTGAATGTAGAGAAACTGAGAAGAAATTGCGTGCCGCTGAAATACAAAGAGCGAAAATTCAACAGAGCATACCGAAAGAGAAACTCGAACGCAACAAGAAATTTAAAGTAATAGAAAAGGAAGTGCTGAAGGTAAAGAATCATCGCATTTTATTTCCAACTCGTTTTCATTGTTGCTAATATAATTTTCACTATCATTTAGCGAAAAAATAAGTATACAGACGCGAGGCTAAAGGCATTGAAAGCGAAAAATGAGTATCAGTTGTGCTTGGAAGCGTCCAATACAACAATTCACAAGTATTTCGTAGAAGACTTGAGCGATTTGATTGATGTAAGATTTATTAATGCATTTATATTCGCTTATATTAATAAAAATGAATTTTCACTTTCAAACAGTGCATGGATTTGGGATTCCATTCTGTTATTTCGCGTGCTCTTATGCTGCATGTAACAGCTGATCAAGGAAGATGTCGACAAGTACTAAACAATGCTGAGCTATTATCGCACATAATACACTCAATGGATAGTCGGGCTGATAAACAAAAGTTCTTAGAACAATATCACACTGCATTTATGATACCAAAAAGACTTGAATTTCAAGGAGGTCAGCAAGAAGATCTGATTGTGTCAACACAAAAGGAAATGCTTCCACAGCCGAGTCTAACAACGCTGGTTGAATGTGAACTACAGAAAACTTTAAATGCTGAAATGGATCAAAGATTAGCACAGCTAATGGCACGAACCAATCATTTACGTACAGAATCAGATGAAATATGGAAAACAGTTGAAACAGCTGAAATTAATTTACTTGAAATTCTCAATCAAAAGGTAATTAATTAGTTCCATATTCCCAAATACATGTTCCATTTCAATTTGCCTCTCCAATATATTAATTTAATTGCCTTTATACAGGATTATGATGTTAGTGGCACATTTGGAACTGGAAATACAGGAAGTGACAATAATTCAATGCAAAGTTTCCAACTTCAATATAGTTTTACACATCAACATACCCAAAAGTTCAATGAAACGCTAACGACGACACAATCTTCAAAGTTACGAAGTGATAAGCAGGAAATTGAGGAATTTTATTTAACAAAGATTCGTGAATATATTTTGTGTACATCTCGAATAGCAAGACTCGATTCGAAAGCTGAATTTTTGCGAAATGCTTTAACGAAAGATTCTAATGCACACACTAACACACAGACTAAAATAACGGTACCAAAGCGAAAGAGAATTGGCAGAATGAATTTATCGGGACGTCCAAAATTGTTTGGCGGATCACTAGAAGAGTATTTGGAAGCGACGGGCGAAGAAATTCCATTAGTTGTGAGGAGTTGTATTCGTGTAATTAATCTTTATGGTCTACATCATCAAGGTATTTTCCGTGTCAGTGGATCACAAGTTGAAATAACCAACTTTAGAGAATGGTTTGAACGTGGTGAGGATCCATTGGCTGAAGTAACAGATGCTTCCGACATTAATTCTATTGCCGGTGTATTTAAACTTTATTTCCGTGAATTACGTGAACCGCTCTTTCCAACAATCTATTTTGATCATCTAATATCACTCGCACAAATTGAATCTAAGCATGAAATGGTCTTGGGAGTCAGAAAATTCCTTTCAGCTCTACCTCGCGCCGTCATTGGTGTTATGCGATACATTTTTGCATTTCTTAATCACTTGTCTGAATTTGCTGACGAAAATATGATGTCTGCTTATAATTTAGCTATTTGCTTTGGACCAACTTTAATGAAAGCACCCGAAGATAAGGATCAAGTTCAATATCAGAACCAGATTAATGCATTAATTGAAAATATGATCGTATTCCACGAAGATATATTCCCAAAAGAATCTAACGGAATTAAGTACGAGAAATATTTAACTCCTGGAACTTTCGATGATATGTAAGTGAATCATGAATAAATATGATTAAATGAATTAATAAGAATTAAGTGCTGGAAATTGATTGACTTTATTTAACATTTTGAGATCTTTAAGTTTTACGTACGCTTCTTAACTTACGTGAAAAGACGTACGTAATATGCTTACGTTTGAAGTACGCTTGGCTTACGTCATAAGTCCTACGTTATTTTGTTACGTAAAATACGTACGTTTTATTTGCATGAAAAAAATAGTTCCGATTAATTTGCACGATAGAAATCATCACGTCAATCATTTCCTGACTCTGTCTCTGTGTGACACATACTTATTGCTCTAATTAATGACTTTATTTAATTTTGCTTCACAGTGATATTGGTGATTCACCAACCGAACAAAACACAGAAGATCAAGATACCCAATCTGAGGATGATTCAGACACATATGAAGCTACAGCTCTTTTTGATTTTGAAGCCCGATCAGACCGTGAATTGTCGTTCAGAAAGGGCGATAATATTCAGCTTTATAATCAAATCTCTAATGATTGGTGGCGTGCATGTATTAGCGGAAAAATTGGTCTTGTCGCCGATAAATTTATTTCATTAAAAATAAAGTAAGTTCCATCCTTAATTTCAATTAATATACCTAGAAATAGAAAAGTAATTACAATGAATAATTTAATTAACTTAATTAGGGGCGAGGAGAGAAGTGGTGGCGAGAAAAATAGTGCAGACTTTAATATGAAATCGTCAAGTTCAGAAGAGTCAGTACGTAAACGATCTCATAGCGTAGGTGGAAATAGTTTAGCGCCAAGTACACTCTCGACAATGACGACAACAAACATTTGTGAAATTACTGATTCTGTGATGGATACAAAGCAGGAAATTATTGGTAAGTCCACGATGAGCTTTGGATTTCATGTAACGCTATAGGGGTTTCGGCTTTAAAACTCAATTTAAGCGTTACGTAATGTCTGAATGAACTTAATTAATTAAAATCATGCAAATCATGACCAAAAATTTTGTACATTTATATAAATATAGATGACACAAAGAAATACATTTATCACGATGAGCCGCATGCATTTGAAACGTCTATGGAATATATGGTTTTAGCATCGAATAATAATAGTATAAATGAGTCGAATGCTGATTTGGATGGAAGTGTAACAGCAACAAACGATAACCACAGTCGATTATCTTCAAACACCGAGCATATTTATAGTAACAGCCACTTTAAATTTGAGGTATTGGAAACGACAGTTTGAATAAGCTTTATGTATTCCTTTTTTTGGTCTTCTATAAGATTTTATTGCCATTAAATGCAGCTACATTCATAAGCTATATTTTTTGTGCCTTATATTAATGTTTTGATATCTTTTGTGCTTTATGTTATGTTTAACTCAAGAATTTTATAATCATGTACAATTAAGTTCCCACAATTATCAAGGATTTAGTATCATCGAAAGTCATCTGCACCAACCATCACCTCCTGCATATTCATCGATGCTAAATCCTTGTGTTTTATCCCATCTCTGCCACTTTATATGTGTTTATAATGTTTAAGCTCTCTTAACTGCTCAAAAAAAAAATGCAAATGTTCAATATATGTGAGCTATGCTAGGTTTATGGATGTGATCTTGTTAATTGCAAAGTGAATGTCACTTAACAGAATTGTGTTGTTGTCCAGAAATGGTTTAAAATCTTAACCACATCCATGAACCTTGAATTTATGTAAATGCATGTTATCACATATCTCTAATAATTAATTAATTAATACAATTAAGTCAAATAATCCTGGAAAAATAATTAATGAAGAAAAAAAAAATTCTTAAATCCTACCTACATCATAAATGTATGCTTAACACTAAGATTTTTTTTTAAAAAAAAATAATGAAAACAAAGCCAGTTCATTAAAATGGAATGATTATTAATTAAATTAACTGTCTAATTTGCTTTTTGTGATCTTTTCGTTTTTGCCGCGAACATTTTTTTGTCTCATCGTCTTTATTTTTCATCCATTATAGTTTTTGTTTATTTTATTTTTTCATTTTTGTGTTATTTATAGTAATGAAAAAAATTATGAGAAATTAAATTTTTGTTCTTCATACAGGTGAGCATTTTTAATATATAATTTATCATTAGATTTGAATAACCCAAAAAAATCACAAAACTTTCATGCCTTGCGTGGGAGTCAATAGAATGCACTAATTAACTTTGTTTTTGTGAATGCGAATTTGAGTTCTTTTTTTCTTCATTAACAATTTTTCCGAATTGAAGATTTATGTCATTTTCCGAGATAACATTTGATCATGCACTTAGTATCGAATACTTTGCTAGTTTTTCGAACAAAAACATCTCTAAAAGGTGGTAGAATTAATCACGGTGATGTACCAAGTTTGTACATAGCCAACAAGTATAACATAATGCATGTTCTTAACTATTGTACAAGCACTAAAAAAATAGTGACAAAGAAAATAACATAAAACCATTATTTCAACAATTTTAGGAGCCAGATGATACAGATGGTGATAATAAAAAACCGGAACCAATATATGCTGAGCCAACAAAAGCACAAAAACCATCTACACCGGCATCGTCAACAACAAGCGGTGATTATCAACCATTGAGCATCTTCCAACAAAATCGAGATTTATGGCAGAAACGTGCAAGTACAACAAGTTCTGTGGATACTGCTTTAGTTATGCAACAAGTAACACAACCACAATCGGCAATACTTACTACTCCTAAACCACAGTCTGCGATATTGACACGCAATCGTTTACAGCCTGACCTTGTCATGGATTTGCCACCTCCTTCATCTCAAGATAATGTTACACCACCATTATCATCAGGTTCTACTTCTGCTTCGTCGTCAATGACGTCATTAGATAAACAGACAATTGAAGATCCAATTAATGAAGAGACAGAAGATGAAACATTAGGTGACCATTTTGCAAAACAAAATCAAAGTACTTTAAAGAAGAATGAGAAATTCGTGACAGCGTCAGAAACAATGACGAAAAAATGTGAAAAGACTGTAGTGGAGCCTGTGACTTTATCCAAACCAAATAATCCAAAATTAGATGAAGTTGTTTTAAGGATTGACGAGACAAATGAGACGGTTGATTTAAGTCGCTTATCTTCAGGCTCAACATCATCTCTTATGAAAATTGAACTTGAAAAGAGTCCAATTCCTTTACGAAATACACAAAAATTTGTGAGTCAATTTGCCGATCTGAAATTAACTGGTGGATGCAGTACAATAGCAAAAACAGTGACAACTCCAACTCAACCAATAACGACACATGCTGAAAAGAACGAAAAAGAAAGATCAAGTTTTTCATTTGGTAGCTTTAAGCCTGCCATTTCAATGAAACCTCAGATATTACAGAAGAAAAAATCTATTTTCTTACAAGCTCATTCATCATCCAGCAGTAATAATTCATCTGATAATCAGCAGTAACTTCATTCATAAAATATATGAAACGTTTCGGACCTTTATGTCTAGTCAAAAAAAAAATCAGTCATGCTCAAACTAATATCAACTAGAAATGGCATATATGAGGATATATTTTTTAATCAAATTTACAATAATCATATATAAAGGATATGAGGATCATCATTTCAATGTACTACACACAGTAAAGTGAATCTATTTGTCAGCATTCATTCTATATAATCAATAACTTCTCATTTGTAGCATTTAAAGAAGAAAAAAAATGAATTGGAAAACACCAAAATACCATTAAAATAGTTGTTACGAAAAAGATTTTAAATGTCATTAAGAGGATTAAACAAAAAATTATAAACAATAATAAGATTAATGATTTAGACAATGAGATATAATGTGGCAAATTTTAAGTAAAAGAAAAATTGATGATAATTTTAGGACATTTATCCGAAGAATAAAAAAAAACAGTAGATGCAGATAATAAAAAAAATTGAATCAATAATTTTTAAAACATTTTAAAATGGAGATTTTCTCTACTTATCGAAAAGTTCAAAGGACAAAAATAAGAAGTTATAGTTTAATGAAATTGAAATGGAACTTTTGAGAGCCGGATTGGAGTCTGATGAGATTTTTCTTTGAATTTTTAACGGGTTTCAAACATTTAAATTTTGAACTTTAACGGCTTTTTTGAACTGTTCAAAACCCTACAACTTGCACTGTTCTCAAACACTTGAATATTCGGTTAAAAATTCATTTAATTGCATTAAAATCATTTGTAGCTGTCAGTAAAATCTCATCTAAAACTACTTTCGGAGTTCTTTAAGGAAACGAAAAGCATTGGAATTTAAAAGGAAATTATTCGAGAGAAATTGTTGGAAGACTGAACTTAATTTTTCTTATTATTTAGAAAAAAAATACGGAAATTGATAGGATCTTAGTGATTAGGATATATATGAAGATTTTTTTTGATGAAAGTAATTCAAATAAAAATGAATGTTTGCCTAAATTTTACAATGAAAATTCCAAACTTTAAACATTGGTTCTTAATTAAAACCGTACAAATTTTTTAAAATCTCTTGTAAAACCACACAACTTCTCGAAATTTTGGAATTGTAAGGTTTAAAAAAATGAAATTTAAAGTTTCTGTTAACCGCATTCAAACTTTTGCTATTCCTTACGACATAAAAAAATATAGAAAAGTAATGGATTTAAACTCCATGAAATTCTCTTTCTTTTCCAGTATTAAATATGAACTATCACACATCATAAATATACCAATATTCATTTTATCTTATCATATATCTCGAAACTAATTAAAATACTCATCCCAAAAAGTAAAAGTAAAGTTTATTCCTCACCGGAAAATTATCTATTATTAATCTGCATTAGATTTTCCATATTCTAGATTACAAAAACTGATAAAATATTAAATGATGAAAATATTGGAATGAGATTCTTGGATGTACAGACATGCTTCACGTCGCCAAAAAAAAAAAAAAAACTTAAAACCTGACAAGTTTACACCCAAAATTGTCTCATTAGTTACATCTAAGGGCTTTTTCTGAAATTTATACCACAACTGCATGCAACAAACATAAATAATAACTTTTAATCTCTTCCATTAAATGTCTCTAATCACGCATACACACACAGATAGCAATAAACGGCATGAAATGTTAATGAATAATCCTTAATTAATATTACTTTACTTAATTGAACTTGGATTTTTCTTTAGAAACATTAACAGCAACAAAGGATTTGATGAGCAGTAAGCACACTTTACGTTACGAATCAGGAAGGATAAAGTTAACAGAATGAATACAAATTTTTAGTTTTTAATGATTAAGTGCTGATTTTGATTAAGTTGGAGACATCCAGCAAACTCAAATCAGCACTAAAAGTCAACAAATAATATGAGGATGTGACAAGAAGGGTACTAAATAAGGAATAGAAGAAATCCAAAAAATCAAAACTATTAATAATACTATAAATTTTTAAAAACTAATGATGAAGTTATGTTTTATTGATTTTGATATTTTTAAGTATTTTATTTTTCATATACATCATATAAGTTAGAACTTACAAGAGTGGGCCACACAAATTAAAGATGATAATGAAGAAAGCGAAATTATTTTTTAATAAGGATATTGTACTTTTTAAATAAGCCAGTGGGAACCGGTATATGTGTTCTCAAAACCTTTATTCTCAATGTAATTAGCCCCCCTTTCTTACTCCCTTAAAAATTTATCAGTAAAACAATGACGAAATAAAGTAATTAATGAGAAAAAAAAAATGCATAAAGGAATTGACCTTTGTTTTAAATTTACGTTTTTTTTTTTTTGCTGATTAATAGCACGCTTGGAAATGGTCGTTATCAACTGTCGTGTATATTAAACCTTCGAACGTCATTTTGCCGAGCATCGCATTAATCTCATCTTCTGAAAAGTGAGGGAATCGAGCTATAATTTCATCTCGTCCATATCCAGTCTCACTTTGATCGGCTAGTGCTCCCTGAATCATTTTAAAGACAACCTTTTCTTTGGCATTTAAACCTTCTAATCCACTATCAGCTGGAGCTGCTGCTGTCGTTTGTTGATGACCATCTACATCCATTTTCTGTACGTTTCCATTCATTGGCTTGCCATCAGCATTTGCGAAACTTTCAGCTTGGAATCTTGCATTTATAACTTCAATGTAGTGTGTACTGACTTCGTTGATTCCGTTTACTGGATGTATTTTGTAGATCATGATTGATTTTGCATCGCCTTGCGATCTTAAAGCACCGACAACTCGTGCATAGCTATTGATCATGATATTTGATGACCCAACCGTTTCTTCCTCGTCAATCCAGTAATGTGCTTTTATTTTGCCTAAAACATGATATTCAACCTTGAGAATTCTCAAAAGAAACAATATTCAACTTCTTATTACCTGTAATATCCTCCATTGAGTATGTGATTTTTGTGGATGTATGTTCGATCTCTTTTACAATAGCAACGACTGTTACCATTTTATATTCGAATCCATAAAGATCTATGACATCATCTGGTTGATTGTGGATCATTTTAATGAAAACTGGCAGAGTTCCCTTAAAGATTTAATTAAGCTATTTATAACCAAAAATAAACAACTATCATTCAACTATTTTTACCTCTGCTTTGCTCTCGGTCTTCTGATCAACATTAGTCTGAGTAAACCCACCTCCAACTGAAAGGATTTAAAGCATATATTAATGAGTATTAATGGAATTAAGCAGATTTCAATTTTAGCGCCAAAATTAATTTCAACTTTTTGTGAAATTTACTTACAGCTATCATCCATTTTCAATATCTTTTTGTAGCTTTAAGAATAACAACAGACACTATTAGTTTATCAACAATTTAATTGTTAAATATCTGTATTTTAAGCTTATTTAACAAATGTAACTTTATTTGTGAAATTCGTGTGTTGTTGTTGTTTTTTGGTAATTGATTTCATCCCCTCAGAAATGGCAGTTATTTTGAATTTAAATTATCAATTACTGAACGCATCCAAACAACAAAAAATTAGGTTTTAAGGCTTTTTAAGACTGTTTCGACTGTTTAAATGAATTCTATTTGCAGTACAATAATGTACTCTAATTAATCAAGCGTGTCATGAAGCAAATTGCGCAATTTCAATAAATTGTTTCTCTACATTTTTTACCCATTATTTATTGAAAGAAACGGGTGTTCCTGTTTTGTCTATCTATCTTTGCAATACGGATTAATAAGGAAGTATAAAATTACAATTGTGATGCTTGTTAATTAATTTTTAAAAAAAACATAACATTTGAAGAAATGATAAATTTGAAATTTAAAACATTTGTAGGGTTTTGTTAAAATTGTACGGTTTTAATATTCAAAACATAATTTTTAAGGTTCTATGTGAAAAATTTACAAAATTTAATTAAATTAATGACAAAGAAAGCACAAATAGGTAATAGAAGTAATGCATTCTTTGTAGCAAGTGACGAGTGCGCTTTTCATCAGATACGATGCTATTTAAACTTGTTTGATTACAACAACAAAAGATTTTCGCTACACAATAAAGCATACATTAATCTCTTCCAAAAAATTATTATTTTTCTGGATTTCAAGGAGTTCACACACGTTTAACATAGCTCTTCGTATATTTAAGGACATAAGGCACAGTTTGCAATCGGAGTACAAGTGAAAAAGTGAAACATTAAAGTGATATAAGTGGAACTCAATTTTATTCGTGGAAAATCATTGAAAATCAAATTTTCATCTGAAAATGGTAATTAATTTTTAAAATTTTCACTAGCATTGACATTATATATGTATAGTATAAGAAATTAACAACATCCAGTTAGATATTTTTGACTTTTAATCGGCAATTGCAAAACTTTATGAAAAAGTATTGTATCACGCTTTTTAAAAGATTCCGGACGAAAGTTGAAAATAGCAGAATTAAATTTTATACTTGTGGGAAGGACAGATTTATGCCAACTGTTAAAACTGATGAATTTCGTTCATTTTTCGTATGGTTCAGATCGATTATTTGAATATCAAAAGCGTAAATTTGAAACATTTCGAAAGATATTTAAGTAAAATTAAAGCATATCAAGCATAAATAGGCAACATAAAGCTCTCATTCATAAGTTATATTGGAACGAACGTCGAAAAAAATGAGAAAAAATTGAGAAGAAAAAAATCAAATTCTCCCATCGCTTAAAAAAATGCTCACGTTGAGGAACAAAAATTTCCTTCATCAAGAGTTCCGATGTTTCTATGATTGATTTAAAATCGAATTAAATTAAGTAATTAAAAGAATAGCGTCTTCATTTCAATGGTAAACTACTTTCGAATGTGGGTGTGGCTGGCAAAATTATTGATCTGACAATAAAGCCGAGAATTTTCAAACTAAACTAAAACCTAAAACCCAGAGAAAGAAGAAAATTAACTTTGTGAAAATTTATGATATGTGCTGCTTGTTTTTGTTGTTGCCGCACGTATATATATGTTTATGCTTGATACTAGATGAGGAATAAATGGGGGGATGATGGCAATATTTTGTGGAAAGCAGCAAATATTGATTTTAATTGCAATTTCGTCTTCTCATTCCTAATCATAAATCTATGTTACCACCATAAACCTCCAACACAAAGCATTATTATCATCTAATACACTTAATATTTTCATTAATTTTGAACACATTAAGACATTTTGATGGATGTATGATTAGTATTATGTATCTCTCACATTTTCATCATCCTACCGTCAAACTTCTCGTTGAGTCAAATTTTCATGAATGGGGAAAAAAAGTAAATATAAAAATGAGCATAAAAAAATCCAACTCTCACAACGTGTTTATATTCACAACTCACACATTTTTTTCATTCATTCATGCGGCGTTGAGTAAGAAGAAAAAAAAATCACATGTTTTCCAATTTTCTCTATTTCTCAACAATAACAAAAAACATATGACCAGCTTTATAGAGACGCTGGTAGAGAAAAAAAAAAGAGAAATGTATCTAAAGTTCCGAGAAACTGAAATTATATATCTAAATTGCTCATACGCCTGTAGATGAAAACTATTTTGAATTTTCAACCCTCTTCCTTCTACTCTTGTGCCACCTTCTCATCCTTTCACCACCAAAACATTCATCTATTTACTCATAGAATATAACAAAACCCATTTTCTAAAATGTTAATGTTGTGAGGGTTTTAAAATTCAACCACATATCCATATTTACGCCATCACTCAATTCATGTCAGTATCTGAATGTGGAGGGTACACACATTGATTTATATTTCAAACAAAATTTCATAGTGACATCATTATCAAATTGTTTATTGTTCTTATTTATTTATTATTGTATGTATATATTAGATATAATTGCTAGATTTTCAGGGCGAAAAGGATGGAAATTAATTTGTTTAATAGAAAATAACAGAAATTCATTGCGTTTGGTTTTGATTAGAGTTAGAAATTGACAAGACTATTCATAAATTCTGTTATACGGTTTTGAAACCATAAATCTGAATCAAATGCTTTTCAAAGGTTCTAAAGCATTATTTAAACTTATACGGTTTTTAACTTGATATCGGAAGCCGTTGAATTGTTCTGAAACGCGTAGAATGCTGTTAAAAGGTTTTCAAACACAAACAATAAACTCAAACTATTATAATTGCACTCTAGAATTAGACAATTAGAATTTCGAACTATTCAAAAAAAAAAAATGAGATGGAAGTGGATATGGATTGCTGCTTTTACCAGACAACCCTTTGAAATATAACTTCTTCATCTATGGCAACTCGTAGTGTGTGTTTTTACTTGTAAAAGAATGAATGAAAGGCAAAAAGTGCACAAGAAATTGTTTTTTTAAGGGAGTGAGAAAAACTTTTCAAATTCAAATTTAGTTTTGCATGCCACTATAAAATATGTCGGCTTTTCTTCTCATACTTTTTGTGTGTTTAGCCTGACTTTGTTGGAATAAAAAGGAGAACCAAACTTTTTGTAAGAGAAAATAGTTGATTATAGAAAATTCTTGTGATAAAAGATATGCATGATGAAGCTTAAGAAATGTTTGTGATGCGATGGAATGAGTTTTGATATTTTGAAACTAGAAGTTTTGATTAATTTCATAATGATCAATAGAAACTCACTTTTTAATGTCTTAAAAATAAGATATGAATTAAATTTCGATGCCAAGTGCGGATTGTTAAAATAGATTTCAGCTCCTGTCATTTCCAAAACTTTAAAAAGATCGTAAAAAGCAAAAAAGTTTCATTATTTTATGAGATGTATTAAGGGATCTAGTTCAATCGTTCATGGAAGTTTCAATCAAGAGTTTTAAGAACCATAATAAATTTTTCTTTGGTTGAAAATATTTCATCCCATAAAGTTTTTTGAGCTATAAATTTAACACAGCAAAATATACACATAAACTTACAATTATTCGATTAAAAAGATGTGCTGTAACGGAAAGGGTTAGAAGGAATTTAGTAATAGGTATACTAGGTGCGAGGGTGGAGATTGGAAGGAAGGGTGTGTGTAAATAGAAAATTATACTTTAAATTTCGCACATACACATTTAAATTTTTGATATTTTATTGTCGAAAAATTCTCGATTTGATGCTGATGATTTGTTATTGTTATACACAGAATAATGTCATAGGAAGTTCACAAATAACGTATTCAAAAAGTGTCACACAGCTCCAGATTTAGTCATAACATTAAGTGTTTATTTTTGTTTCCGAGAAGTTCAAAAAAGAATTGAAAAAAAAAATTTTCGACGTCACTTGGAAACGACTTCAAACTGGTATACACAGCAGAATCTAACTGCAACAACTTTTTGATATATAAACATTGCCTAAATTTTATTATGTATGTACTGGATGCGAAGAATGTAGAATGGTGTGAGCACTGAAAAGGATGGTGAAATGCTTAGAGCGTTATAATTTTCCTAAACTAGATTGAATTTAAGAGGAATGAGAAAGTTATTTACGGGGGTGGCTAAAATGCATTTCATTTTCTCATACCAGCTTGTTTATAGGGATTGCTCCCACATTTAAAATATTTCAACATTTCGCTCAACTTGTGAATAATTTTTGATATTTTGGGGAAATGTTCTCCAAAGATAAACTAAAATGACAAACTATTTTATTAACAGGCCACGAAAAAGATGAAGGCATTTTCTGAGTTTGATGATGAATTAGACATGGATAGCGATTCAGATGTGGTCAGCGAAGGAAGTGATTTTGACGAAGATTTAGATCCAGACAAAATTGAAGTTCCAGGTAATAATTATTTCTTAATAATTAATTTATGCAAAAGGATGTATGCGAAACGTAGATAATTAGCATAAAAGGAAAATTGCATTCATAGGACATTTGTCTATCCCGAAAATTCAATTAAATCTTAATTACGCATTGATTTAATTATTTATACACTCAAAATGTTCATTAATCTCATAGGAGGTGGAAAGGATCTCGAAACAGCGGCCACATTTGCTTCAAATAGCGATATAGCAACGACGACATCAGGAAATATTGGAATTAACTCACCCTTTTTAACACAACCCATCAAAATAGAAATTCCAACTTTACCTGCAACATCAAAGACTGTTCAACCATTAAGATTTCCGAAAGTAAATACAGCAAATAATCGGATTCCGCCAGGGGTATCGTCTAAGCCTCGTAAGTTCCTTATTATGCTTGTGTTCTTAAAATAGTAAATATAATTTATATGATTCGATGTGAAACGTCAATTTCTCCATCATGATTTTCATTTGTTTTCTATGTTTTGATTGCTAACTTAACATACAATATTATGTCTCTTCTTTTCTCTCTCCCTTCTCTTTGTATTTGTCTCGTCGTGTCATGTTCATTAAATTATGCCAAAAATTTATATTTCGTATGTTTTACTCAATATAAAATGTAATTTGATTCAAATTAAATTAAAAGCTCCACCATTATTGTATGGTATGGGAGCTAGCGGTAGTACATTTTATCCTGGAAGCTTAGCTTCACTTTTACAGCAAAGTAAGTTGACAACATGAAAAGTTTTATATCCCTTCATCATAGCTAATTGAAGTTTTATGTATTTTTGTAAATTTATGTTGTGTTTTGTCGATGAAAATTCTTCATAATTTTTGCATGAAATGAGAATTATTGGCGATTTTCTTCCTTCTTTGTTCGTTTGTAGCTCTCAGCTACTTCAACAATGTTTTTTACTCCATGATCATTAAACTTGAGCAACAAAGAATCTTGAATTCATTACTTTGTTTTCTTTTTTCAGTGGAACGAGCAGGAGGAATCAACAATTTTTCTCCCATGATCGGTAGCAATGCTAGTCAGCTGATGAAGAATCTTCAGCAATTGATTGCCTCGAATCCAGAATATTTAAAAAGTGGCATTCCAACACATTTAATACAACAAATGTGGAAAAAAGAACCGGCACCAAGTGTTATGCAAACTCCAAAGGTGATGATAACACCAATGAATAATAATCGCATTTTCGATGTATGTTTATTTATGAGTTCCATTATCATTTTAAGTATATTTTCGATTCTGATAGATTCTCGGACGTAATTCTCTTATTATTGCAATATCATTATTTTATTGTCACTTGTATCTATCGAGTCATAGACAAAAAGATTAAACTGAGAAATGAAATTTTATGTCACATTTATAGCTTAATCAAGAAGAAGAGGAGGAAGCTGATGACGAGGAAATGGGAGTTGCAGAAACTTATGCAGATTATTGGCCCGCAAAATGTAATAACTTGAATGTTTTATTTTTATTAATAACTAAGTTATCAATAATGAATTAAATTAATTGCAGTGAAATTAGGAAGGAAACATCCAGATCCAGTAGTCGAGACAGCATCTTTATCGTCAGTTGAGCCATCAGATATTAGCTATAAGCTTAGTTTACCACAAGAAACAATAGATCTTGGCATGTTGAGTGCATTGCAATTAGAAGCGATAACTTATACTTGTCAAGCGCACGAACATATGCTTCAGGACGGTTCTCGTGCAGGATTTTTAATTGGTGACGGTGCTGGTGTGGGAAAAGGTCGAACAATTGCTGGAATAATTCACGAGAATTATCTTAAAGGCAGAAAACGTGCGCTTTGGATCTCTGTTAGTAATGACTTAAAATATGATGCTCAACGTGATTTACGCGATATTGGTGCTACAAAAATTCAAGTTTTTGCATTAAATAAATTCAAATATGCAAAAATCAACTCAGCTCCAAACGGAAATGTCAAAAAGGGTGTCGTTTTCAGTACGTATTCAGCAATGATTGGCGAATCAAATAATCGTGATGCAGGCAAATATAAATCACGTCTTAAACAATTACTTCAATGGTGCGGTGAAGATTTTGACGGCGTAATTGTGTTTGATGAATGTCACAAAGCAAAGAATTTGTGTCCAACTGGAAGTAGCAAACCTACAAAAACTGGTTTAACAGCATTAGAGTTGCAGAATAAATTACCAAAAGCAAGAGTCGTTTATGCATCAGCTACAGGTGCCTCAGAACCTCGAAATATGGCTTATATGGTTCGATTAGGAATTTGGGGTGTTGGAACTCCATTTCCGACATTTAATGACTTTATTACGGCTGTTGAAAAGCGTGGTGTCGGAGCTATGGAATTAGTAGCTATGGACATGAAATTGCGTGGAATTTATATTGCTCGACAACTTAGTTTCCACGGAGTTACATTCAAAATTGAAGAAGTTCAATTGAATGATGAGTTTAAAAAGATGTACGATGCTTCTGTTGAAATGTGGGTTGAAGCTATGCACAAATTTACAGAAGCTGCAGAATTAATTTCAGCTGAATCACGAATGAAAAAGACAATGTGGGGACAATTCTGGTCGAGTCATCAAAGATTCTTTAAATATCTTTGTATTGCATCAAAAGTACAACATGCAGTCACTGTCGCTCGAGAAGCCATCAAGTACGGCAAATGTGTTGTAATAGGTTTACAATCGACAGGAGAAGCTCGAACTTTAGAGCAATTGGAACGAGATGAGGGCGAATTAAATGATTTTGTGAGCACTGCTAAAGGTGTATTTCAATCATTAATTGAAAAGCATTTTCCGGCACCAGATCGTAATAGAATCAATCGACTTTTGGGACTTGAAGCACCAGGCAAGACAATGTTAGAACGGATTATGGAAGAACATGATGACAATTTGAAATCAAAAAGTGGACAAATCAATAACAAACGAAAGACTTATGATATGAATAACTTACCACAAAAACGAATGAAGACTTCACAGCTTTTGGATAGTGACGAGGATGCCGATGACTTTGAGGATACTGACAAGAGTCCAGATTTTGTAGCAAATAGTGATAGTGACACAAGTGAAGATGACGAAAGTGATCATTTAAATAGCTCAGAAGAAAATTCCGATTATAATCCATTCGGTAACTCGTCAGACTCTGATTCTGATCCATGGGTTAGCAAGAAAAAATTAAAGAAAATGAAAAAAGAGAAAATAAAGAAAATAAAGGAGGAAAATGGAAATGGCCAAAGTAGCAGTAGATCATCACCAAATGATGCGATTTCAGTTGCTTTAAAGCGCAAACCACAGACAGTCCAAGAGAAACTTCAGGAATCTTTAGCTGCAAAGAAAAAGGAAACTTCAGGAATTGGTGTTGTTAAGATTGAAGTTCCTGGAATGAATAATATAGCACCAATTCATATAAAACCAGCTGTTCCTCAAAAAGACAATATTGAGAGAGCATGTGAAATGAAGGAAAGTTTACTTAAGAGAATCGAAAAATTAAGTGATAGTTTGCCACCAAATACTTTAGATCAATTAATTGATGAATTGGGCGGTCCTGAAAATGTCGCTGAGATGACTGGACGTAAAGGTCGTGTTGTTCAAAATGAAGACGGATCAATTCAATATGAATCACGTTCAGAACAAGACGTTCCATTAGAAACTTTAAATTTGACTGAAAAATCGAGATTTATGGATGGCGAAAAAGATGTTGCAATTATTTCTGAAGCTGCATCGTCAGGTATTTCATTACAAAGTGACCGAAGAGTTCGCAATCAACGTCGTCGTGTTCACATCACACTCGAGTTACCGTGGTCTGCAGATCGTGCAATTCAGCAATTTGGACGTACACATCGATCAAATCAAGTTAATGCGCCTGAATACATGTTCTTAATTTCCGATTTGGCTGGAGAACGACGTTTTGCATCGACAGTAGCTAAACGTTTAGAAAGTTTAGGAGCTCTCACACATGGTGACAGACGTGCAACAGAATCGCGTGATTTGTCTCAGTTCAATATTGACAACAAATATGGTCGAAGCGCATTAGAGGCTGTGATGAAAACTATAATGGGCTATGAACAACCAATGGTTCCACCACCAAGCGATTATAAAGGCGATTTTTTCACGGATGTTGCTGGTGCTCTTGTTGGCGTTGGATTAATTGTCAATAGTGAAACAAATCCTGGCGTTTTGAGCTTAGATAAAGACTACAATAGCATCAGTAAATTTCTCAATCGTATTTTGGGAATGCCAGTTGAATTACAAAATCGTTTATTCAAATACTTTACGGATACATTAGCTGCAATAATATCTAAAGAAAAGAAAATGGGACGCTTTGATATGGGAATTCTCGATCTTGGTGCTGGCGGTGAAAATGTTAAAATAATCAAACACATTCGATTCTTACGTAAACATTCGACTGGTATTGCACCAATTGAGCTTCAAACAGTACATGTAGAACGTGGAATGATTTGGCAAGAAGCTATCGACAAGTAAGTTTACTATTTATTCTTTTTTTATTGCTTAATTAATACATTAATTGTTTAATATTAGATGGGCTGACTTAGATGACGAAAAGGAAGGATTCTATTTGTCGCATCAATCACGAAATGGAAGTTACACAGCAGTTCTCGCTATTGCTGTCGAAAGTCGTCCGACTAACCAACTGTTGGGTTCAAGCAGTAATAAAAAGGGAAAGAATGACAAGAAAAAGGAACAAATGTTTCAAATTTATCGACCAAATACGGGTCTTCAAGTTCGTCTTGAATCATTGACTGAATTGGAAAAGAAATATCGCAAAGTTGAGAGCGGTGAAGCTGATATGCATTGGATTAAGCAGTATGATGCATCTGTTAATATATGCTCACATTCCTTTTGGAACGGAACTTGCAGACAATCGACTTTAGGATTCGAGTGTGAAGTATGTTGATGATTTTATCATTTTATGAATCTTTGATGCTAAACTGTTTATTTTATTTAGGTTGGATTGCGTCGGCGTACCTACTCAATTTTGTCAGGGTCAGTCCTCTCAGTTTGGGGTCGTGTTGAGGGCGTCTTGTCACGTTATGGAAGCTCAGGACATAATAAGATGCAAGTAATTCGTTTAAAGACACAAGAAGGCAAGAAAGTTGTTGGAACTGTTATACCAAAGAATTGCGTAGAAGTTATTCGTAAAGATTTGAGCTCAGATGCTGAAAAAGTTGAGGAGATTAAATAAGCTCATAACAAAGAAAATATTGAAATGTATCCCATCAAACTTGTTTTAAATGTTTCTTCTTAAGATTCTTAATTTATAAAATTGATGGATTCATAAATCTAAAGGAAATTACAAAAAGAATAAGTTATAGTTACAAAAAAAGAAAGGAAAATCATATTATAAAAGATGTAGCATAAGTCATTCAGATTTGATGACATTAGATCCTCAAAAAATAAATAAAAACTCATCCAAAAAAAGTTTAAAAGATTTACAAGATTTTGAAAAAATCCCAAAAAACAAACGCGCTTAATTTAAATTTACAAATTTTCTCTTTTTTCTGTTAATCTAGTTTAGTTTATGTAAAACATTTAGTGACACTAGTAATAAAGCAAGGAATTTTCATTTAAGAGTATTTTTACTAGAAGCTTTTAATTGTTTCATAGAACATTCTCAAATCTTATCTTTTTAGTACATTTTTGAAAAGTTGTTTTCAAAATCGTAGCTTAATAAGGGCTGAAAATCGAGACCTTGTTAACCAGTCATAGTAAAGAGCTCGGGTTTGCTGTAAAAGCTCAGTAAAACAATGATTTTATACTATAATCAAAAACGACAAAATTGCGCTAAAATCCCTCGATCAATATTATACGAAAACTTTTGAAATGTTTTGAACGAAATTATCGTTTGACTTCAGTTAAAATTTCAAAAACCATTCAACAGTTGGTGAAAACCTCACAATTCCATTTGTATGGTTTTGACAATTTATATTTTATATTTAAATTTAACAATTTCGTTTCTATAAAATATGAAATAAATATGAATTAAAAATAATAAATCTATTAATTTATTTGTCTATAGCTTAAAGCGCCAAATTCTACATACTCCACATTTTCATGAACATATAAAAAGTTAAAATAATTAACAGAATATATCCAAGTAATTTCAAATTTTGCTTTGTGACGCCTTCGACACTTCGAATTAGTTCATTATTCAGTTCAAAGACTTTTTGACTTTCAACGACAAGCTGCTGCTTAATTTCCTCATTAAAATCCTTTACATAATTGTCAATAATTGATCGCATATTGTTTTTCAACTGGACAATTGACTGATTAGGATATGAAGTTAAAGCAGTTCCAGGTTCAATGTATTCCTCAGTCTCATCTCTTTGTTCTTTATTCCAACTGAACTTGCTTGTAATTTGCCTCTTCTTTGCTAATATTTGACCACCAGAAAGCAATCCCATATAGAGATGATAGACATAAGCAATTAATAGCAATGCATTTGTTTCCTTGACTTGATTCAAATGCTTAAGATATTTAATCACACTTTCTCGAGGCTTATACGTCTTTTCCCAATCACATCCTTTATAAAATTTTAAGTCTTCCTCAAACTGCTGTGTACGATGATATTGTAATGTTAAAACTGATGCTGGCACATTCTCTTCCAAAAACTTGAATACTTCGTAAAAGACAAGTAATCCATCGGCCCAAACATAGTTGTTATTTAGTGCTACGTGATGAAAATCATTTCAGTTCCTTTGTCAAGCTTCCCTTTTATTTGATTACTTACCAAAAGCCAATTTCGCATTAACTAAATCATCGCTTACTTTATGAATAGCTCTTGTATGATCTCTCATACGTTTTGTAATCGATTCCGTCATGTTTGTGGATTAACAGTATCACGAATGACTTAATAACAATAAGCAAAAAAAATTTAAGTTCGGCAAACAATAACAAAGATTCAATGACTGACAACATTGATTTTACAAAAAAGAATCAGTTGTACGACAAAGAATATGTTTTGATTCCAAAGCTTTTTATATATTCATACTTTTCATGTCCTATAATTAATTACACTCGATTTTCTTATTGAATTTGGCGTGGATCTACTCCAAGCTCAAGAAGTCGCTTAATCACATCTGTATTGTCTATATTATTTTCTGAATTGTATTTATATAAGCTAATTAATGTTGTAGACTCGAGACTTGGAACTTGCTCGAAAAGTGACTTTCCTAAATGAGCATCCACATCATTTTCTTCTCTAAGTACGCAGAAATAGAGCATGAAGATGGCAACGCTTCCTATGACGAGATATGGTTGGAACCATGGAATTTCATCTGGATCAAATGAGCTGAAAGTTTATTAAGTCATTAATGATATTTTAGAGATCCAGTAGACTAGATTCTTACCCAACTCGACTAGATTTTGTCTTAAAAGTTTGAGCACCAGATCCAAAGAACTTAAGTGGTGTCTCAGGATTCTTAGCTTCTACCTCTGCTTGCTTGAAACTTGCCTGACTTATTGTGAAATTTCTATTTTGTGCTGCCAAAATTCTACAAATGTGAAAAATTTAAATTATGAACTTAATTAAATGAATGAAATCTTGACAACAACTTACTTGAAAACATTAGTGGCTGTTCTTATTTTTAAAGTACTTTTAATCAGTGAATTCATGGTATTTATTGGTTTTATTAAGTATTTTCAGATGTTTGAAGAATTTTCAATTTTCCGACTGATTTTGTAAACAAAGTTATCCGACCACCCCGAGCAACACATTAAAGCATGTTATTATATGGAAGACATAATCCAGTTCTATTAATATTTTCTAGCCTCAAAGCGATATGTCAAAAGCTATAAATAACAATTACCAATATGTGGCAACATCACACTTAATGTGCTACTCGGGTTGAAGTTATTGTAAAAAAATAAATATCAATAAAGTGCTTAGTTATAGTAATGTCACAGAATTACAAAAGGTTTCTAGCGATACTCGAAAAGTGGCCTGTCGATAAGTCAAAGAACAATCGTGATTTAGGGTATTTTTTGAGGGAGAAATTCACTACCCAATTTAGCGGTGCACAAATCGTATCAACAAAAGATCAGAAGCACATTGAAAAGCAGTTTGAGGCTTTAGATAATTTAGTTAAGAACGTTCATCACGAAAAATATCCAAGGAAGTTCACATCTACATCAACAGGATTAACAGGTATGATTGTAAACTTGTTACTGGATTTGGCTGGAACTGTTCTTATTTATATTTCGATTACTCATATAGGCGAGCAGTGCAAGCAGGTCCTTTCATCGGAATTCTTGGAATACATTAATGCTGAGAACTAGAAATATGATGCTTACAAGTTTATCCTGTCAATTTAGGAGATATTCTCAAATGCACTTTTTAAAGCCACTTATCAGCAAAACCAAATCTAATCGTCCACATATTCCCGTTATGCTTAATGAAACTATAGAATACTTAAATCCAAACAAAAATGATGTTTTTATAGACATGACATTCGGTTTTGGTGGACATACTACGAAAATTTTAGAATCAGCTGAAAATGTTAAGGTTTTTGCAATGGATCGTGATCCAATAGCCGTAGATTATGCAAAGCAGTTAGCTGAAGAATATCCAAAAAGACTCATACCACTTTTAGGTAGATTCTCGGAACTTCCGGATCTTTTAAAACAGCATAATGTAAAGCATAATTCTATTGATGGCATTTTATTTGATTTTGGATGTTCCTCAATGCAGTTTGACGATGGCACTAGAGGCTTTTCGATTAGCAAAAATGGATATTTGGACATGCGAATGGATCAAAATCGTCTGTCAAATCAGCCAACAGTTGCTGATATTTTAGCGAAAATAGACGAAGAGGATCTAGCTAGAATCTTAAAAGTCTATGGTGAGGAGAAGAATGCTAAAAAGATTGCAAAGGCAATAATTGATGCTCGATACTCAGTTAAAAAAATTGAAACAACTAAGGAACTAGCAGATATCGTCGAATCATGTTGTGGAAGTGAACAAAGATTAGATAAACTTAGTCGGTCATCACACGTGGCTACAAAAACTTTTCAAGCATTAAGAATTTTCGTCAATAATGAACTCAATGAGATTAATTATGGAATTTTGATGGCTGAGAAGTATTTAAAAATTGGCGGTAGACTTGTGACAATAACATTTCATTCTCTCGAGGATACAATTGTTAAAAGACACATCATGGGAAATATTACAGACGATGTAGCTAATGAAGTTCCTTTAAAATACATTAGTCATCTATTATGTCATGATGAAGATAAACTTGATGTAATGTTTCATACAAATTGGCACCAATTGCATAAACATGTATTAACTCCAAGATTTGAGGAAATAGAAGAGAACCCAAGAAGTAGATCAGCAAAATTTAGAGCAGTAGTCAAGTATCAAAGTTCATAGAATTTTCTTTAAGTAATGGCAGGATAAATTTAATTAGGAATAAATAAACTTGTTATGTACAATAGTGTTGAAATGGAAATGACAATTCAGGGGAGTTACTTTATAGAATCACAAAATCTTCGATTCCATCATCATTATCATCTTCGTCTGGATCTTGTAATTGAAGATTTCTTAATGAGTTTAATGCAGTTGTTCGTACACGAGCTGATTTATGTGTCTCGTCTCGAAGTCTACCAGGTTGAAAAATGAACATGGGATAAGTTGATTGATCGTACATGACATTAGGTGGTTTGAGGCAAGAGGATGTTGTCTGTAAAGCTTTATGTCGTTCATTGTAATTATTGACGGGTTGTAAGTATGGCTGAATAGTATTTTGGAATCGATCATATTCATTACGTGTAGGAATATAAAATCCAATGCAACAACTTGGATCCATTTTGGATATTTTCATTTTCCTTGCAGACCGACAATGAAAACTTGTGACTGGAAAATGATCGACATTAACATCGACGAGATCTTGACAATAATGTGGATCTAAATGTATTAATTTATCATCTTGATATCCAACAAAATAGAGTGAATGCTTTGGACGTCCACCAATAATTCCAATACACCATTCAAGACTCAGTATGGCTTTTAAACAGTCAGAATAAATTGGATTTAATTTTTCATGTCCTAATCTTAGTGGAATCAACAGAACTAAATGTTTCCATGTAATGACATTTTTCTTCCTCTCAAAATTCTTCAATGGAGATGTTGTGGCTGATCGTGACTTATTATGCCACGGAACTGTCTGTATTTCTTGTGAATAACATTCATCGAAAATATCTTGATTATAAATTGTACAGTCTTGTGCTACATAAACATGCAACGTTGCTAGATCAATATTTTCTTTCGATGCTTGCTTAACAGCCTCTTTTAATACATGTGCTACAGATCCAGGACCATACCATTCACCAACTTTCTTACCATTCTTCTTGCCTAATTCGACCATTTTATGAATTGAAAATGGACTTGTCTTAGACTCTTGATCACCAAACCATCGAAGTATTTTCCTATGAATGTGATCTTCTGTTGTCTGTGATAGCTGTGAATTTGGATCAAAACGCCAACTTCGTCCAAGAAAATGAACAATAAGTGCCTGTGCAAGCATCATTTGACCAGATCTTATCATACATCCCCATCCACAATCTGATGTATAGCCACTAGTTGGTGAATGCATTGGATCTTTTAATTCTGTTTGCATCATTGTAAAATCACGTCTATAAGTCATCCATATTCGTGAGATAAAATCCTTTTTAAATCCATCAAAGCCATCTTCATAGTCACCGACTACATCTGTTCCTGTTTCTTCTGGTGGTTCAATTGCTTGATCAATTTCATAATCATTATTAAAATCATTTAAATCACTCGTACTTCGATATTTTGTTCCTGAATATTGCTGTACATATGAATCACAGGACGTAGGCATTTCTTCATGCAACGATGTTGTGAGTAACTTATTATTGTCTATCCGAGAATTATTCGTAATATTATTATCAATCATTTCATAAGCTGATGATTGCATGGATGGATTCGGAGTGACTTTTTGATGATAACATCGACCCAAAAACCATATTGCTGATTCCTTATTAAAATTTGACCTCAACTTTGTATTCCATCCATATTTCATATTATGCCATAATGACATGAGTCTTGTCTCTACTTTCTCCTTTAATTCATTTCCATTCACAGAGCTTCCAGCTGCTGCTGATACTGTTGATGTCAATCGTAGATCATTCGGTACATTACTGGATGTTATTGGATCTACTTTAAAACCATTTTATTTTTTTATTTTTAAAAATATTGTTAAGAAATTGAATTTTCTTCATTTTACCATTTCCTTCAGTTCCACTTAGTTCCACAAATGTATCCTTGATTCGAGAAAACATTGTTGCTTTATTTGACATTGTGTAATGTCCAAAATATTAAGTCCATTGATGATTTTTATAGAATTTTTCTCTTCATTGTTTTCTTCACTAGATCCATTTGTTTACATACATCTTATGCCATCTTGTGGTTAAGTCTAAAAACACATTTTCTTTATTCTTAAAGGAATCAGAAGTTTATAATTAATAAAATCGGTTATTTGCAATAGAGATAGTCAGGCAAACTTGCTTAATAGCTAGTAAATAGTATAAATTATCAGAAATTGATAAAAGTTTGACAAATCATATTAAAATAAGAAAGAATTTTGCATATATTCGCGGTTTGGACATGAATGAACAAGTTTGTGTAAGTGTTTTAGTGACTAATTGTGTATGTTGAAAGTATTAACATTTTAAGTTAAAAGCTACAGTTCTTACCATAAGTTTTAGTGGTAAAAAGCAAAAATAAAAAGTTTGTCTGAAAAAATAAAGATCCAGACAAAGTGAAAGTTATCATCCAGTAAACATTACAAATATTGCTAAGTGACAAACTCACCACAATTAAAGAAATCAAGACTAGTTAAAAGACATTAAATTACTTATTTCTATGAAAGTTTAAGTACTGTTTTAGAGGGCTTTTTCCTTAATATAAGAGAAATGATGAATAAAAATTCAATTCAATTCAATTCAAAAAATATGACCAAAAAGTGGCTTTAGAGTTATATTAAAAAGATTCAGTTTGACTTGAGCAAAAATTGCACAAAAAATTTAAAGGAATTAACCACAATAAAACGCCATCTATTGAGCTCGCGGTGGTGTGATTCTTGATCTTGCATTAACAATTAGTTGTTTTAAATAATATACAATTTTTTGGGTTTAAAATGAACAATCCAATTGAATTATTTAATGAATTGGAATCATTTAATGTGCATGATCAGGAATGTGCTAAGCAGAAGTTCGCAGAGGCATTCGCTTCAAGTAAGTAGCAAAAAATAAATATGGAAATCATTTTTTCTTTCTTCACAATAAAAAAATATCTACTTTCATTAAAAAGTAATAAAAATTTATCGTTCGTGACAAGAACGATTTTTATTTCATTGGATTGACGTTTTCTTTGTCTAATTAATAGCGAAAGAATCATGGATTGTTAATGGAATGATCGATTATTATGCACAAACAAATTCATTTAGAATAGTTGAAGTTCTTGTTAAAGTTCAGACACCTCACGATATTAATATCTTCAATAAGCTGCAAAAATGTCTTCAGGAATCGAATCCAAAGCAAAAAACTGTTGCTTTAACGCTCTTCGCTCATATTGTTCGCAAGGTAAGTTTACATTATCATTATTTTGACTATTTTTATCCATCGTACAGCCATAAAAATAGCACTATCAGAAGAAAGTTATGCTGTGTCCATCAATTTTAATCTAATTGAAACCATTGTCTCATTACAGCATCCAACTTGGTTGCATAAAGTAGTTAATCATGGATTCCTGAAAGATTTATTAAAGTTCCTTAGAGTAAGTACAAAATTTATCAATATAAGTCAACATTTTAATTAACTTTCATTTGTAAATTGCTTTATTTTTAGTATGAACGTGATGTCATAACTCTCATATCTGGATTATTGTGTATAATATCATTATTGCCAATCATACCGACATCGATTAGTTCATACCTCCCAGATCTTTTTGAAATCTTCAATTATGTTGCAACGCTTACATGCCAACAGCTTAATTTAAGCGAATGTCACCTGACTTATCTACAATATGGACTTTATATGCTTTTCAATCGATTGTATGGAATGTATCCATGCAATTTTATTGACTATATTAGAAATGAGTATATTTTAAAGACGGAAAAGACTCCAATTTTCAATCACACAATTCGAGGACTGCTAGACACTGTAAAAATTCACCCAAATCTAATAATATCAACAAAGAGCTCTGAGACTACAACATCACGTTTTAAGAAAATGGAACCTCACGACGTAGTCGTTGAATGTGCAAAATATTCTGTTGATAATGAAAAGTCTGTTTCAAATGGATCATCAGCGAGTGGATTTTTAGACTGTTCCCATATGAAACCATTAGAATATACACATACAGTTGTTGAGCCATTACCAGCGCTTCCATCACGTAATTATTTGGCTAGTGCCAAGTCTGTTGAGAATAAATTTGAGAGTCTTTGGAGTCCATCATTCGTTATTCAAGCAACTCCTCCCCCGACAGCTAATTTACCTAATACACCCACTCCAACACCAAATTTTCTAATTAAACAAAATGCACAAGCTTTTAATGATGTTGAGGAATCGACGAAACTCGTCGAGCCAGGAGTTGAAGCAACACCAGAAACGACACCAATTAAGCCAGAAATTAGAAATTCATTTAAACCATATCCAAACTCATCACAAACTGCACGTAACATTTGGCCAAAAGCGACAACATCGTCAGTTACACAAACAACAAGCACGCGAAATATATCAACGCCATCATCACCAATGAGAAAGGAATTTAAGCCTTTACAAAGTCAATTACCATCCTTTGACTTTGCATCAAATCAAAAACTTATGAGAATTTTATCAGATAGAGAACATAGTGGCGCTGATATGATGATATCAAAAGAGGACCAAGAAGTCAATGATATTAATAGCTTTAATACCAACAATAATAGTGATTTGGATGGAATTAATGTAGCCTCAATGATGGAATTTGAGGAATCAGATACGGATGAAACTGATACAACACCACCATTATATCCACAAGTTAATTATGTCGGTCGTGTAAAGCGCCTTAGATTATATAGTCATTGTATTTGTAGCGCTGGGACATCTCCTGCTGATAGCATTAATTATATGCCGCGTATTCCAAGAACATCTCGTATGAAGAGATATAATTCATGGCCTAATCTTAAATCGGCTGATGTTATTATTAAGTCATCAAAGCTCAATAAACAAAATGAAAGTGAACATCAATCGTCATCGGATGAAGCTGTAAGTGCTGTATCTCATTTTAAAAAGAAGACTATTCAAAATGGCGATACTAAAATGAGAAATGGTAGCATTTTTAAGAAGATTAAAGAGGATTTAAAATCGAAGCCTTTAGAAGTCGTTCAGAAAGCATCGACAGGAACGCAGACTATTGAATATTGGCCATCAGCTTACGAAGCTATGTTTTATAACATTTTTGAAAAGGAAATGAAAAAGAAGCCTGAAAAGGATGAAATAATAACAGTCACGCAAACAACCACGACTATTACAAAAGCGTCAATTGAAGCAGGAAGTCATCAAAGTGGTGGATTTTTGACATCTGTATCATCGCCGAACGAAATGATTGATCAATACATCCAGACATCATTAAAAAGAAAAAATTCAAATGATTATCGCGATCAAATTGAACTCTTGGCAATTCAGCTTCAATTTGAGAAGCATAGACGTGAGATTCATGCTGAAAGGAACCGACGATTGTTGGGAAAGAGTCGGCAAATGCGCGGATTGGAACAAAATAATTTAACACTAACATCTCAAGTTGCACACTTGACAAACGAAATTCAAGAATTGAATAAGAAATCAACAGAAACAAAAAGCATTTATCAAATGAATTTAAAGCAACTTGAAGATCGAATTAGTTTCTTGTCTAAGAAATTTTGTGAGGAAAATGAAAAGCAGAAACAAATTCAAAGAGAAAAGGATGCTCTACAAGTTCTTTTGGATGACGAAATAGCTCAGAAGAAGCAAGCTCTTTTAAAAATTGACAAATTATGTGCTGAGAATTTTGACTTGAAACATTTGTACGAAGATGCTAAAACGGAAGCTGAACGTGGCAAGCAATATAGAGATCAGTTAAAGAAACTCGAATCTGATCTCATTATATTTAATGAAGCACGATTAAAATGTCAACAGCAGATGGAAGACTTAAATGCTATGAAAGCAAGAGACATAGAAACAGATTATATTGTTGAGAGCTACACACACGAATTGCAAGATATGAAGCGTATCTTAGATTTTAAATCATCACAAATAGATGGCTTAAATAGACGCATTGTCGATTATGAACAGCAAATTCAGAAGAAGGATACAAATCTTGCAGATCAAAAGAGATTAGTAAAATCTATTAAGGACGTCTATGAAGAAAAATTCAAGGTAAGTTTTGAACATAATAAAAAATTAAAGCTTTAAACTAATAGCCCGTTTTATGTGCTAGGCCCTGGAAGACAAGTATGCAACACAGAAGGCAATCATCCTGAAAATGGAAGAAAATGCATTGGAATTAAATAGAAATCAACAAGCGATAGTTTCACCCGAATCAGAACGAACTGGTAATATTTGATTCTAATAATTTTCAAACCCTCCACCTCAACTGCGTTTTCTAGTTGATCTTTTAGGATATACCTCACCATTGTCTATTTCGTTAGCATCAAGCAATGAGCTTTCTGTGTCTCTGAGATCTACAACAGAATTACGAAGTCTTATTCTTCCAGAGCCTGTTCAACAGCCAATTCTTCAACGACAGCAGTCTATTCATGACGACATGCCAGTAAGTAGCTCCGGAATCGCTCACGGATCAGGACAACCAATCACTTATAAAAAGAAATCTTAAAGATGTGTAAATTTATTAAAATTATTATCCTATTTTATCTTTTATAATAAACAGTAATGTTTCTAAAGTTTTCAAGAAAGTTAAGCACTGCCACTTTTTACTTGCTTTACTCTTCTCTTTTTATTTTGTGCAAATTTGTTGAATATAGAACAATTTAAGTCGATGCCACAAGATGGCATAAGATGTATGTAAACAAATGGATCTAGTGAAGAAAACAATGAAGAGAAAAATTCTATAAAAATCATCAATGGACTTAATATTTTGGACATTACACAATGTCAAATAAAGCAACAATGTTTTCTCGAATCAAGGATACATTTGTGGAACTAAGTGGAACTGAAGGAAATGGTAAAATGAAGAAAATTCAATTTCTTAACAATATTTTTAAAAATAAAAAAATAAAATGGTTTTAAAGTAGATCCAATAACATCCAGTAATGTACCGAATGATCAACGATTGATACCAACAGTAACAGCAGCAGCTGGAAGTTCTGTGAATGGAAATGAATTAAAGGAGAAAGTAGAGACAAGACTCATGTCATTATGGCATAATATGAAATATGGATGGAATACAAAGTTGAGGTCAAATTTTAATAAGGAATCAGCAATATGGTTTTTGGGACGATGTTATCATCAAAAAGTCACTCCGAATCCATCCATGCAATCATCAGCTTATGAAATGATTGATAATAATATTACGAATAATTCTCGGATAGACAATAATAAGTTACTCACAACATCGTTGCATGAAGAAATGCCTACGTCCTGTGATTCATATGTACAGCAATATTCAGGAACAAAATATCGAAGTACGAGTGATTTAAATGATTGTAATAATGATTATGAAATTGATCAAGCAATTGAACCACCAGAAGAAACAGGAACAGATGTAGTCGGTGACTATGAAGATGGCTTTGATGGATTTAAAAAGGATTTTATCTCACGAATATGGATGACTTATAGACGTGATTTTACAATGATGCAAACAGAATTAAAAGATCCAATGCATTCACCAACTAGTGGCTATACATCAGATTGTGGATGGGGATGTATGATAAGATCTGGTCAAATGATGCTTGCACAGGCACTTATTGTTCATTTTCTTGGACGAAGTTGGCGTTTTGATCCAAATTCACAGCTATCACAGACAACAGAAGATCACATTCATAGGAAAATACTTCGATGGTTTGGTGATCAAGAGTCTAAGACAAGTCCATTTTCAATTCATAAAATGGTCGAATTAGGCAAGAAGAATGGTAAGAAAGTTGGTGAATGGTATGGTCCTGGATCTGTAGCACATGTATTAAAAGAGGCTGTTAAGCAAGCATCGAAAGAAAATATTGATCTAGCAACGTTGCATGTTTATGTAGCACAAGACTGTACAATTTATAATCAAGATATTTTCGATGAATGTTATTCACAAGAAATACAGACAGTTCCGTGGCATAATAAGTCACGATCAGCCACAACATCTCCATTGAAGAATTTTGAGAGGAAGAAAAATGTCATTACATGGAAACATTTAGTTCTGTTGATTCCACTAAGATTAGGACATGAAAAATTAAATCCAATTTATTCTGACTGTTTAAAAGCCATGCTGAGTCTTGAATGGTGTATTGGAATTATTGGTGGACGTCCAAAGCATTCACTCTATTTTGTTGGATATCAAGATGATAAATTAATTCATTTAGATCCACATTATTGTCAAGATCTCGTCGATGTTAATGTCGATCATTTTCCAGTCACAAGTTTTCATTGTCGGTCTGCAAGGAAAATGAAAATATCCAAAATGGATCCAAGTTGTTGCATTGGATTTTATATTCCTACACGTAATGAATATGATCGATTCCAAAATACTATTCAGCCATACTTACAACCCGTCAATAATTACAATGAACGACATAAAGCTTTACAGACAACATCCTCTTGCCTCAAACCACCTAATGTCATGTACGATCAATCAACTTATCCCATGTTCATTTTTCAACCTGGTAGACTTCGAGACGAGACACATAAATCAGCTCGTGTACGAACAACTGCATTAAACTCATTAAGAAATCTTCAATTACAAGATCCAGACGAAGATGATAATGATGATGGAATCGAAGATTTTGTGATTCTATAAATGATTAATTTAAGTTATTTTCTGCTATTAAGTACTGTTATTTACAAATATACATTTATACACCCCATAAAATAAAGCTATCATAATGGATTATGATTTAATTAAGTTATTTATTGTAACAGTCAAAAATATTTTGAATTAAGCTGGTATGCAGCATAATGTAGGGGGTACTCAGATATAGATAAGTTTAGGGGAATTGTTCATGAATGATGTCTTATTATTAGATTACGGTGGGGTCTCATGTTTGCTGACAGCATCTGCATGAAAAATTGACAAAGTTAAAAGACGGGGTGATAAGTTTTAAGTTTTTGATTGACGTCATTTATGAACGATCCCAAAATAAAGAATCATTTTTTCTGAAATTTAAATTAAAATTTGTAAAATATAATTTAACAAATAAAAATGGCAAACCGAGTGAAAACAAGAGAGACAAAAACCGGAGAGATAATTGCATTTAGTGAAACAGCTGTCAGACAGAACCTGATCAATATAGAATACGTCAAAACATCATTATCTTGTAATTTTAATATCAAAACTCATTTTATTTCCTTAATTAATTTATCCCATTTTACAGCATTAGCAGGTTGTACAGCTGGAATCTTAGGATTAACTGGATTGAGTGGCTTTATTTTTTACATTGCTGCACTTATAATCTTTTTTGGACTTCTAATTGTGAAGACTGGAAATACTTGGAATAAATATTTCATATCAAGGAAGTCGCTTGTAACAAATGGAGTAAGTCAATTAACAATCACATCCAGTTGAATTTTTTTAACAAATGCCTCTTCCAATTAGTTTCTCGGTGGACTTTCTACATACACTCTATTTTGGACTTTTGCGTATGGAACGATGCATGTGTATTGAAAGATATTTAATTATACTATAAATTATTGGTTTGTCAAATTTATTCCTAATAAAGTTGGTATGTAATGAAAAACAGAGTGCTTTAGCTTAATTTATTACAGATCTTATAGGCTTTATGAGTCAACTGGAACATACTTCTACATTGTCTCATATGTATGTTTGCACAATTTCTCAAAATTCACTGCCTGATAAAATCTATGAAGCCTCACGTGTACAAAATGTTATCTACAATTTCTGAAAAATTGATACAAATATGCTAGCTTAAATAAAATTAATCAAATAGAAAGGATGTTAAGTAAACATTAAGCAAAACATATCATTATACTCAACATAAATAAGCTACAAGGAAGATGAAACAATTTTTTTTTTGTCGGTCGGTAGCATATTGTTCATACTAATCTCTATCTATTATAATTTTCAATCATTTGAAATAATCTGACACGCTTTAAATGAGATGATGGGTAAATGATGCGGTGAAAGGAATCAACAGTGATGGGAGGGGTCGATTTAGTTTATTGAATGAGTTATTTAATATCTAATGAAATAAAATTAATTTTATTTATAGGGAGAGAGGAAGTAGTCAGGAAGTTGTTGTAAAATTAAGGTAATTTTAATACTGTTGGTTGAAATTTATTGGAAAGCATTTATTCAGCAAACGTTCAGCTTATTAAATTTTTGGCTCTACTGTCATAAATTATGTTTGTAATTAATATTTTCTTGATGCTAAAAGCATTAAATAAATTACTTAAGCTTTTAGGTATATTCTTAGATGAAATGACAAAATGCAATGAAATCACATGATGCATCCCATCAAAACTAGTTTAAACTGATCTTACCACTTAATAATAAAGATAAACAAGTTTCCAAGCGTGCATAATGCACCTTGCTTAGATAATCAAAAAACTAGTCATGACAATCAATGATGATAAGTTATGCGGTAACATTTTCATCCCTCGCCGTATTTATTTTGAGGATTATTACTTTAATATTTTGTAACAATTATTCATATATTGAACTTGCCTATATAAATAACACATAAAATCTATTACATCACTCGAGTTTTCAGGTGGAATGAAGAAGCAAGCGATAAATGGGGTATGGAAATGAATTGTAATATATGTACGGATGAATGTAATGTCGTAAGGTTTCATTTCAAAAAATCATCATCATCGAGCATTCAAATGGTTTCTTTTAGCAATAACAAAATAAAATAGAAAATCAACTTCTTTCAACTGCCTCGCAAGGAAGAACAAAACAACTTTTCCGATCAAAGGAAAAATCAATGACACAACATTGTTAAGAAGACGAAATTGAGAATATTGTTTACTTTACTACTCTATTCAACCAGTTTGGTGTGGTTGCCTATTCCGTAATTAAATTCCATGTCAAAGCGGCAGAAAAAGGAATGAGTTGGTGGATGAGAAGGGAAGAAGGATAATAATTGAAATTTAATATTTTTCAGCTAGATAAATAAGCTTGATTAATTTGTTGAAATGATAATTAAATCTGGGTTCTAAAATCATCACCACGTGCTTATTCAGTTGAGAATTGTTTGATGGCTATGATATCTATCTCTCATTTCAAGGAAATCCAATAAAACTTATTCAATTGGCTGGGAATTGATGGGTTAACTTTGTAATGTATCCTTTTTGGCCTAACATCAAGTCTTGTCGTTGAGGATTTAACGTTTATAACAGTTTATAAGTTTATTAACTTTTTAACGATTTTGCCAAATTTCAATAAAGTTTTAAATTACCAAGATGATTGAAACTATTCAAATCGAAATTTTTTAAATTTAAAAAATACGTTTAATGTTGCTTTAGTCATCTCAGAACAGAAGTGCTGTATATTTGTAACTCGAGTGCAACGAAGAATGCTTGAAGAACATTGAATGAGCTCGTGAAAATTGATATGCAAATGTATTACGACTCGAGGAACAAGAAGAAAAATGCAATAAAATAGCTGAATCTGAATGGAAAAATGTTGTTGAGAATCCCTGGAATTTTTTAAATTAATACAGAAGTATGGAAAAGGAATTTATGCTACACAAGAGTTGAAGCTGGCGACATAATAAGCGTTGAAAAACCGCGAAGAACCTATACTTTTTGCTGGATGATGCCTTTTACAAGCATTGCTGTTACAAGCATTGATTGTTTGATTCCATGTACTCAAACAGCTTCCATCATGTTCTGTTCTGATGAAAAATAAAAGTCATCAGTTTAATTAAATATAAGTTATTGATGCTGTAATTTGTAAAACCAGAAAAAAATTTCAAGTCACCAAAGGGGCCGTTCACTTATTACATTCGCATTTTTGGGGGGGGGGGGTTGAAAAATTGTAACAATATGTAACATGGGGGGTGTCAAGAAGGATGTAACGTTCTAACTGTCGTCTGTCTATTAAAATAAAATCTTTCAAAATAAAAAAAATTATGAACCGTTCAGGGGGGGGGGGGGGGAGGGTCGAAAAAAGTCGTTTTTTTGCGTAACGTAATAAGTGAACGGCCCCAAAAGGATTTTAAAGCTTGCATGGGACACAATTAAGATGACTATTGATGATGATTTGTGATATTTCTAAGGTATAGTAACTTTAAAAATCAAAGCTGGTTCTGCTACATTCCCTTGTTAATTTTTGATCAATGAAAACTTAATTTAAATGCAAGAAAAGAGTTCATTTATTGAAACCTATTAATTATATTTCTATTTTTGTTCCCAAATGTTATAAGTTGACTTAAAATTTTTATAAAGGAGAATATTTGTTTTAAGTTAAAGTCTGTACTATTAGCATTCTTATGATTGACACAGATGTGACGAAAGGTAGCTTTTTCTATAGACATACCTAAACAGAACTTGAAGAGGCATTAGGTATCTGTTCATCAGTCAAAATTTATTGTTCAATAATCTATTTTACACCCCACAGCTAGCATTACCAAAAAAATATTCAACATCAAGAAGAAGTTAAATTAAACATGAAATGAAATTGATATCTCGTATCCCCAACACAAAATACGGTGGTTCATTCATTCAATCGGAAGAATTAAAGTTTCCTTTCAATGAATTTTCTTCTTCACGTGAACGAAGCATAGAGCAAAAAGGAGAGAATATGTAAGTCAAAAATTTATAAAGAAGAAAACTTGAAGATTTAATTTGATACTCTTTTACAAATGTCTAAATTATTTTCGTAAAGGAAAAGAAGGTCCTGACTTCAAAAAATGTCAAAAAACTTTATATGCTCATGAACTGAAGAAGAGTAGCATAACACATGGGAAATGAGTAAGCAGAGGAGACCAAAAAATGTTATTGATCGTAAAGGATTAAATTTCACATAACAACAACGACTTGTCAATATCGCTCAAACTTTATTAACTGTGTGGCTCTCTCGTTTCATTACAAGTCAAATACATATGGAAGGATCTTTGAATACACAACCAACGGCATTTAGGCTATTCCTTGAGCATGTGTTTGTCATTCACAAGCAATTGGCTGATAAACAATAACAAACAACGAAAAAAAAGAAGTAAATTTAATGAATGGAAATGTAGCATACAACATGTATGTGCATAATATGATTTAACATTACCAAAAGGAGTCCATACATACACAACACGGTGAGTTCTGTTGTATTTTTATTATGTATGGTAGTGCTCGCATTGTATTCTTTTAAAGTTCTCTTAACTTTATTTTCCCTCTTCATAAATTAGTTGTACGATTGACATCACATTGATCGGTGTCCGCGATTTTTAGTCAAGTTCTCAAGTTCTTTCGATAAAAATAAAATAATTATCCTGATTTTTCTTCTTTTTTGTTTAACTTAGGGAAAATGAAAATGTAGCACATAGCTGATGATACAGCTTCAAAAATAATAAGTTTTATAAATATAATTTATTTAAAGTGAAATGTTAATAAAGTGCAATTAATAGTTTAAATATTTATATCATAACTCAGTTTTATGCATAATTGGAATACTTAGAGAAATAATCAAAATTTAAAACTGGGTAAATAGTGATAATCCTCCTATACTGCTGTTTTATAAAAGAAATGGATAATAACGGATGTGAAGTCTTGAAACATGTGGATTACTTTTGGTTCTAATACATTTTTAATTTTGGAAGTAAAGTCATGTGATTTTTAATAAAAAGTTTTCTCAAAAAAGCCGGATATCGAACATGATTGAAAAATATATGATTAAATTTCTTAATTAATTGACTGGTAAATTTCTAGAAACGGACCTACAATGTTTGGATAAAAAGTCTATGACAATAAACTTAAGTTTGATGAATGGCAAAACATCGATTGAAAGTTAACAAATCCAAAATTTTCCACAAGATTGTATTTGGTTTGATTTTTTGGTTTAAATCACAATCACTAGCTGAAAATCTTAATTTTGATAAAGTAATTAACACACAATCTATTTTCATAGAAAGATTTAAAGTTTTATGTCGAAAAACTAGTTTCAAGAGAAATTTTTGAGTTTTCTGACTGGGAAAGCGACTCGTCTCTGATTAAAAACCAAAACGATCCTTTTAGATCTTAATTTGCTATCTAATTATTAAATTTTATTAATTGCAATGCAAAGCATTTTTAAACAATTTTTTTGTGCATTATTTGTAACTATAAACTTCAATTTTATTTAAAACTTAAAATTAATTCAATCAAAGTTTAAAAAGTTCAATTCAATACAAAGTTAAAAATATTTTTGACACAAATTGAAAAATTCTCACTGAAAAGCAGTAACTTAAAACTCTGTAATGAATACAGTTATGTTCCTTAAAAATTTGTATACCAAAATTGTTCTGATTCATTGAACATTCACATCAGTTAATAATTATCAATCCTGGCTCGAATTAAATTATTCTGAAAGATGATTTCCGTAAATGAGAAATTTTACTTGTCCAATAAACCACAAACTATGTCAACAGTACCTTTCTAAGTGATAAAATTATGACTACGTGTCAAATGATGAAATTCACAAATTTATTAAATATTTTTTTATGATAAATTCTTCAGCAACATTTATGCCATCGTGCCTCGAAATTATACGCAAGTCCGATTGCTTGAAAATGATTCTATTGGTTGCCATGCAGTTAAATACAAATTTCAAAATGGGGTTGGTGAAGAAATGTAGAAATTGAAGAAGAAACAGAAAAAGCAAAGCGGAGAGAAAGAGGAAGGAAAAAATTATTTATGCTTTACAGATTTCATTACATTGCTATCTATGTGAAAGACCTTTGTATTAGAAAAATTCATTTAAATTAGGATATAATTGATTGTCAGTGAGTTAAAGTTTTCGACGATAATAATCTGGAAGTTCCAAAAGTCCAAATTTTACATCGAATTTTGTAAGAGAATTTATGGATAAAATTTCGAGTCAAAACGAACTTTTCTTCGGCTCCATAATCTCCAATTCAAGCCCTACATTTCACAATGATTCCATACAAGCTTCACTTCCATTATTAATTTTCATCTCCTTGACGAAATTGAAAAAAATATCAAAACCCATAAAAACTTTTTTTTATTTCGCTGTTTTTCCATGTTACACAGATTCCATAGAAAATAATTTTAAGGAAGGTGGAGCAATGCATATAATCGAGTCTTCGCCAAATGCTGCTGATGGATATGTACCAAATAATAGCAATTTATTTGGTAGTTGGATCGATAGTCCGACAACACAGGTAGACTTTTCGTGCACTCTCTCCCGTGAATTAAGTGAAAATTATTTTAATTCATTAAATATTTCTGTTCAGGAGTTTAATTCATCGTCTCCTGTTTGCGGGAATAACTGTACATCATTGTCAACATTGCATGGATCGGATATCATTGATTGTGGAAACTGCTTTAGCTTTGATCATACATTGAGGTGAGTTTATGGTCATTCTTAGATTATGAATTAAGGGTTAACGATTCAGAGTACGTCTTGGATGACGAGAAAGCTCTAATACTGTGAATGGCGTAGAGCAGTTCTTAAACTATTTAAAGTGAAAGTTTAAAAAAAAACTAGAAGTTTTTGAATTTTTCTGGTTTTAAGTTTCTTCAAACATACTTAAGCTATTTAATTAATCAAAATTACGTGCAAGAATTATTTTTTGGAACCTAGTGTGAATCAAAAAGGTCATTAAAGTCGTAAACCGAAAAGTTTGAAAATATTTAAAATTGCGCTGATTTGAACACGATATAATAGCTATTAGTAATTCAATCTCAATTATTCAAATGTCTGAATAGTTTTTGAAGCATTTAAAGAACATTTCAGTTAAAAATTAGTATATCAATATCAAAGTCAAGACTCCTGCAGATTATAATCTTTCAAAAACGAAGTTTATAATCTTTGTATAAAGATTATTAAAGATTTTAAATTTGCGAAGATTATTTGAAATATAATCTGCAGGACCAATGATCAAAATAGAAACGTTCATGTTAAATTTTGCAATCCTAAAACTCTTTATGAAGCACAAAACTTTGAAATTACAAACAAAATTATTTATCATTAAAAACAAGAAATGAATTAAAGCAAAACCAACAAAAAAGAGACATGTTATGAGATAAGAAATGAACAAGCAAGCAAAAACTGAGCTGAGAGATGTAAAAGATACCACATTGGTTATATTTTCATAATCAGTCAAATGGAAAGATTTTACTGCAAAATGCGCACAGCAATGAGAATGTGCATAACAATTCCAAGAATATTTTTCTCATATCAAAGTCCGTCGGCCTTCATGGTTTTTCTTCCTTTTTTACCATTTTTTAAACATGATACTTTCCCAACATAATAAAAAATAAAATTATGTGTGCATGCAGAGTTACAGAAATGATGTTGATGATCATGCATGATGTGAAGAAGAGTAATTTCATACCTTTATGTCTCTGCTTTTCTTCTTTATTATCATTGATAGTCTTACACAACCGTCTATTGTATCACATTCAAGTTATTGGAACGACGAAATGAATTCCTTTAGTGGATTACCACCGCTTGAAATGGAACCTCTGCCGAGTTTATTTCCCTTTTCACCTTGTGCAACCGCCGGTTATGCACGACCTGAGCGTCCAACACATGATGTCGCTGATGTACTTTTATCACTTAAGAATGCAGTTTTAAAGCCAAATGCTGAAAGTTATCCATGTCATCAAACAAATCAACTTCAATCACCACAATCACCTTATGGTGCTTCATATACTGTCCATCATCCACAAATTCTTTTATCACCTTCATCTCATCATCACTATTATCAATGTCATCAGAATCAATCTCAAAGTTCTTATAACACAAACAATGGATATTATGATCCAACATGTCCAGGACATTATCCAAGTATGAGTGTGAATGTGTCAATGAATATGACAATGCATGGTTATCCGTCTGATGTATCATGCTCTCAATGGAATCCACCGCCAACTAGCTCATCAGCAGTCCTCTGTCCACCACCATTTAGTCCCGCACAACCTTATCCGAGTGCCACATATTCATTTACGGCTGATTTTCGATCACCGTCGCATAGTTATACAAGTGAAAATGGAACCACAGCACCGTCGCACAATTTAGAAGATGAGCCTATTTTAGATAACGTAAAACTGTCAGCATCACCAATTCCTGCTATTGAGCATAAGCCATTTTTCCACTCAAGCACATGTTTTACAACACCAAAGAGCTCATCACCTTTATCGTTTGATGTGAGTAATGGTCTCAAAATACTGCTAATTGATGTCCTTCATGGATCCTTTGTAATTGACATTTTTCACAATGATTTCATTAACTTAACTTTTGAATACAGATAAAGCCAAAAATAACGTCGCCGTCAAGAAATCACGCCAACATTTCATACGAACAAGAGGATGATAGCAATAGTAATGATGATAGCGCAGGTGGGAAACCAAATTTATGTCGACTTTGTGGTAAAACTTATGCAAGACCGTCCACCCTGAAAGTAAATATCCATATCATATTTTATACAGTCATGCAGAAAGGAAGCTAATTATTTATTTTCTTTTTCATTATTAGACACATTTAAGAACACATTCAGGTGAGTAATATGGAATTTTGTGACATTGCTTGTAATAGCTATCGATTATTTTCCATATTCTCCTCCCACATGCTTACACATACATGCTCACTTCTTTCTATTTCACAGGGGAACGTCCGTATAAATGTTTGGATTGCAAGAAGAGTTTTTCACAGGCGGCAAATTTAACAGCACATGTTAGAACACATACTGGCCAAAAAGTATGTGCTTGAAAATATTTCAATGGTTCTCAAACTAATTTTTATGCTTTCTTATTTTTATATAGCCTTTCCGTTGTCCAATTTGTGATAGAAGATTTTCACAGAGTTCGTCTGTTACGACGCATATGAGGACACATAGGTATTGATATATAGTTACAAAATTTTATTATAATTTATCAAAAATTTTAATCCATTACAGTGGTGAGAGACCATACCGCTGTAGGAATTGTAAAAAAGCATTCTCTGACTCATCGGTGAGTAAAAAGTTACACAATGAACTTGTAAGTTTTTCATTATGAAACATAAATTTTGTTCACAGACGCTGACTAAGCATTTAAGGATTCATAGTGGTAAGCAAAAGCTTTTGTTTGTAAATTAAAGGTTTGGATTTAAAGATTTAAATTTTATTTTCAACTTTTTTACAGGTGAAAAACCTTATCAGTGTAAATTGTGTCTCCTACGGTTCAGTCAATCAGGTAAATTATGATTTATTATCCCTACCCAACAAAGAGCTTGATCTGAACTTGAGTAAATATCAAACTTAGATTTAGATCTTTGTGGATTATGGTTTCCCTTGTTGATGTAGCTCGTAGCCAACCTTACTTATAGTAAAACAGCAAAGAATATTGTGGAATAACAAGTCATTTCTTATCTTCAATAGGAAACCTCAACCGACACATGCGAGTTCATGGAGGCAACGGACTGGCAAATTTAGCTACATGACATAAAAATTCAGGAACATCAGGATTTGCTCTAAATTCCCTAAACTACTACGAATGCAACAAAAAGTTTGCAGCTACCCAACTCTTTCATGCTGCTTCATCATCACTTATGTCAAGCGAGCATCATCAACAAAACTGCTTCTATAAAAACTATCTCTAAAGTCACTGTTTCCATTGTTATAGCTGAATGACGAAAGGTTTTATAATCTGAAAAGAAAAGCTTAAGACACATTGAAGGAACAACATTTGTAACTAGAAAAATTTTACAACGCCATTACTGCTGAAATAGAAGGCTATTGATTGGCATAAAAATAAAAACCTACGTCATTGGGGAGAAATAAATATAATTGTGAATACAAAGTAATCAAATATGAGTGAGATTGTAAAAATTTGTGCATCATTGAAGAAAATTTGATATTGGTGTAAGTGAAGCAAAAAGTTCAGTTATAAATAATAAGATGCTACTCTATTTCCTACGAAATTGTATCGATTCCAAATTTTTAAACATTTATTAACTTGAAGATGTAACTGTATGATTGTGCTATGTAAATGTACAACAAAATCATTTTTATCCTGTAGACCAATGAATATGTCCAGAATGAATTATCAGTGCTTATTTTCTGCTTTTTAATTATGTTTATCAAGTGCTGTTGGAAGTGAAAAGTTTGAATTTTGAAAGTTTTTATTGGAAGCTAAATTTTGAAGTTTCAATATCTGATATAAGTTTTAAAGCTTAGGAATTTTCGTTTTGCTAAGCACTAATCGCCATTTTGAAGATTTGGTGGCACACAAGATTCTCAAAAATTTATGTTTGAAGAGATTTGAATGTAATTTTTAATTAGCTGAGTTGCTTGATGATCTTTTGATCTGAATCATATTAAAAAGAAACTTTTATTTTGGAAAATTGAAGAAATCTTGTAAAAAATAAAATTAAGTTTCTTAAAAGTTTGAAAACTATGCAAGAATTTAAAAATTGAAAGATTAAAATAAACACCGAATTAGGAACTTTAGATTTTTAAAGCAGCACAAATTGATTGAAAAAGCAGAAAAGCACTGATTGAACGACGCCACTATTGGATACGGTGATTGAAGAAAATGCATGAATTAACTAATGAAACTCTAGTCCTTTATATTTCCTGCTACTTTCCGTGTTAAATGTATGAAATTAAATATGGAAGAATTTAATGTAATTATATGAATGAAGAATAAAGAATATTGTAAAGGAATTTTAATAATCTCATTTTTGTGGAGTTAACTCTGTAAAGATTAAAAAGGCTCACTAGGAACAATGAAAAGGCAATTTATTTTAATATTTTTTGTTTTTTTATTATTTTTATTTTTCATCATATAATTATACCATTTTACTCAAAAAGTTCAATTTTTATTAATTTTATGATTTCTCATTAATATTTTGTTTTACCTTTATAAGACCTTAACTATAGTATTTTTTTCTCAGTATAGTTAATTCTTCATAATTGTAAATTTTTTATTCTTTTACTTTTTTCTTCTCTTCTTACAGTAATAAAAAAATCAATTGTTTAAATTAAAAACTAAAGAAGGTTTTTTTTACTATTATTATTTATGACAATTTTTTTTATGTATCTCAAAAGAAAGATAAGAATTTTATTTTTTCATTTTGGATGCGGGAAAGTTGAGTTTCGTATCATATCACATTCAAAGCATAGACCACGTGTGAATATTATCGCTAATGATTGCAAGAGCTCTTCAACTTGAGTTGAGCATAAAGTCGCATAATCAACGCAACTTTGAAAGTTTTTCTTTTTAACAAAAATTGAAATCAAACTTTAATAATATTAACAATGACCCAAAAACCGTATACTGTACACTACTTTAAAAAATTCAGAATTTACTATTATTTATAGTCAATGAAGATTCTTACAATCATGAAAAATTGGACATCCTTTTGATACATAGAATCTATCTAAAATTTGTTTCTAAATTATCCGAATGAGGTCATCATGAAAATTTACAAAATCGTTTGCTTCACACAATTTTAGAGGTCTTGTGCATGTTTAATGCATCAAGTCACTTTATAATTTGAAGAAAAATGAACGCTCAACTTTCCCGTTCCTTTATGTCTACCGATAAAAGGTATTTTGTTAAAAATTAATATAGAAGAAAAAATATGGTTATGCATTTGAAGTTCTAATGAAAAAGTTCCTTAATGTTGATGCGATGCGATATAAATCTTTTTTTGTATTTCTGTCCAAAAAAACTCAAAAATTAATGTGTTTGTGATTTTTGTTTTTCTTTTACAAACTTTTTGAAAAGAAAAATTGATTATTTTTTACAAGTTTTTTCTTTTAAACCTTAATCTAGCATAAAAATTATTCATTTTTTTTTTTCCTTTTTCTGATCGGTAATTATTCACAGTTTTCCCTATCAATCGTTATCGAAAAAGCTTTTTAAGGAAATATTAAGGATTGAAAAATCATAAAAGTGGAAATCGTTCGCATGGCAAATGAACTGCAGGAAGTCTTTTTTTGTACCGTTATTTTTAAATGTGTATTTTTTGTACCATTTATTCTAATGAGTTGAAGTCTCACACACGTTTATTTATAGGAAGTTACTAATGATGAAAGCATTTAATGCAGAGGTGGAGAAAAGCAATTCAGACAGTTCTTCGCACCACTAATTCCGTTGTTTCAGAGTTTGAAGTAGACGTTGAGTCAACTCCGAATCTAGTTTTGTTCCATAACCTTCACAGATTGCCACCTCTGGCATTTAAAAGCAAAATACTTTTTGATGTAAAATATTAAAGCTTCTTTCTTCCGTCTTTAGTAGCTCGAATGGCACTTATTCAATGAAAATTTGTAAAATGAAAATAAAAAAATCATTCTAAGCAGCGTGACTGTACAGATTTTGTCTGGCAATTTTTATTTTTTTTTTTTGATGACTTAACGAGACATTAACCTTGCCAATACATATTGCTTGTAAGCCACGTGAATTACAACACACTTTTATGTGAATATGAAAACATTTTTGAAAGCTAACAAGAATTTGACCAGTGTAACTGAATCAAAATGGAGAAATTATTATTATTTACTTTTATTCCGTTGCTACAATTCATTTGCCATTCTATTTAATTATTCAGACGATGAGGCTTAGTGAGAATTTTTGACAATTCTTCGATTTGGAAATAAAAGTTCTTGTAAATTTGTCCATTCACGAGCAGCACTGGATAAAATTGACCACGAGATGCATTTCAAGTCAAAAGTAAATTTAACAACCGGATATTCTCTGCTTAAGTGTTAAGTTGTACAGGTTGTCTGCTCTTATTAGAATATTCAGGTCTTACAGCAGTTCACTTTAATTTTGGCGCGATAAAATGATTTTTGTGGTCGATTTCATTAGCTCTGCTAGGGCATCTTAGAGCGACTAATCGATTTACAGGAAAATTCTAATGATTTAAACGAAATTAAGTTCTTGATGAGACTGTACAAGCGTTAAGGAAGGTACCCAATTAAAGATTTATCAAGAACAATTCTCAACAAGCCGAAATTCGCTGAATGATTTTATATCTTGTGATGTTGTTTTTAATAAACATATTTCTTAACTCTTTTAAATGCAATATAGACTTATGAAACAAACATTACAGCTCATTTTTTTTTAACACGATTTCCTCAATAATTAAGATTTTACAACATATACATGATAAAATAACGAAGGAAAGTTTCAAATTTCAAATTCAATTGCAATTTCGTTTAGGTTTTGTTTAAATTTACAGTTTCCCAAATGAAAAAAATAAAAAAAAATTGAAATGTAATAAAAAATACAATTTTTTGTCATAATAATATAATTGATTGTCAAAAAAAAAAAATACAGAGAGAAAACTTAAATAGGAAGCAACTTCATAAGCAGGAAAATGAATGTGTGTGCATTGATTAATTGATTTATCATAAAAAGTTGTTTTCTTCTTCTCTTCTCATTTCTTTTCTTGTTGAAATTTGTTAATCCTTAATAATCCTAAGTACTTATTCTTGCGAATATGTATTCACTATTCATAAATTATCATTTATCGTCACCTTCAAAATTAATAATTTCCATTTTCATTTATACTTGTTTTGCTTGTTTCTTTCTCATTCTCACTTTTCATATCATCCCATCCGTGTCGTTTTTTTTTCAATGAGTTTAAAAAGAAATGATTTTTTGTGTTTTTAGTTTTTTTCTCTTTTCATATTTTTTGTTTGTTGAAATTCTTTTCAATACGAAAATTCTAGTTCAATTTTCTATGCCAATTAAGGAGAAATAATTAAATAAAACTTGCATATTATTTTAGCATGTGAGCGCTCAATAGAAACATACTAGTGAACTTCTGATGACTCCGGTTTAACACTTGACGAATGATGATTGGGATCGGGGGCACTAAGAGGCTACAAATTTAAAGAATAACAATTAATTTCTCGTTGGTCCACTTCACTTGAGATAAAAAGAGACAAACAACAACTTGGGTAATAGTTTAAATCGTAGTAAGACAGTCCAGAAAGTTTTTAATCATTAAAGCTAACTTTTAACGGTTTCGTTAAAATCGGAATCAATTGGAAGTTGTTGTCTATTTTATAATTATCTCAATATTTACCGATTTGCTAACCAATGGATGCTGTTGAATACCTTGTTGCTGTCCCGAAACTGGTGGTGCTGAGCCCGATTGACTTGGAGGTCCACTAGCTGCCGCATGCGTTGATCCAGCACTATGAGGCGCTTCTAATGGGGTTGTACTGTGTGCTTGCTGTGTATGCAGTCCACCTGAATAATATCCACCGTTAATGCCAGCTGTAAGGGGTTAATTTATGGGTTTTTACACATTTTTTTTGGAAGATCTCGTTTTTAATCAGAAAGATTCGTTTTGAAAATTAAAAGTGGGATATATTAATGGAATCAAAAATTAAAGAAGTCGTTTGGACCAAACAATAAAGTGAAATAGCCAAAACAATAATAATGAGAGAATGATGGACACAAAACAAGTCTGACGTTAATAATTATAATGTTCACCTTCTGAATATCCTCCACCGGATGCCGATCTCAAAAAGTATTCTTTATTCACACAATTTCTGAGAGCATCTGGAATGGTCCCAACAATTGCGCGACGTATTTCACTCGCAGCCATTTCGCGTAGCTCTGTTGTTGCAGCTTCACTGTAAAAGGCGGCATGTGGTGTACAGAGTAAGTTTGGGGCGTCTTTAAGAGCTCCCTGAAATAGACAACGAATGTCAGAGATGGAGAAATGAAAACAAATTTTAATTACTAAAAAATTCTATTCCTTAGAAATAATGTTCATATTAAGTAAAAACCTGAAATACATTATATGGCTCATTCTCGTGAACGTCTAAAGCAGCTGCTCGTATTCTTCCTTGTTTTAGTGCTTGTGCAAGTGCCTCATCATCAACAAGGCCTCCACGGGCTGTATTTACTAAGAAAGCGCCAGGTCTCATCTACAATGTATGAAAATAAGAAACGTTTGATTAATCAGCATAAAATAAGTTTAGTGATGACGGGTAAATTAAATGCATACAAAATTGCACATTGTGCACTCACATACTGGGTAATAAATTTTTTTTAAACTAATTAATTTAAATGTATCGCGGCACTTATTAATAGACATACTCAGATAGCAATCTACACACTCCGTTGACCTCACAGTCGCATTTAATAATGAATATTATTGTTATTAAAGTCGTGCACGACTAGTTGCTTTTTGTATGCATTTTAGTCAAATATTCATGCTTGCTCAAATGTCTTACCTGTTTAATTGTGTACTCATTAATAAGATGATGATTATGTTCATTTAATGTACAATGCAAGGAGACACAGTCAGAGTGGAAGAGAAGTTCCTGAAGAGTATATACTCGAGTAAGCCCTAACGATTTTTCAATGCCATCAGGTAAATAAGGATCATAGAAGCTGACATTAAATCCAAAAGCCTTTGCTCTCAATGCCACAGCACTGCCAATTCGTCCAAGACCAACAATACCCAGCGTGTCTCCGCGTATTCTTGCGCATCCCTAAAATAATTAAATGTTTAGTGCTGATCAAAAAATAAAGGTTACTAACTTTTACCTGTGCTGCGTCTCTAACTTGCTCGGGTCCTGTGAATTTTTTTCCCTCACGAACCATGTTTGCGAGCCAATATGTTCGTCGGTAGAGATTTAAAATGAGACATAGTGTTGTGTCTGCAACTTCCTCAACTCCATATCCCGGAACGTTACAAACGGCAATGCCGAGTTCGCCAGCTGCTTTTACATCAATATTGTCTACACCACTGCCAATACGAACAATGATTCGAAGTGCTTTGAATTTCTCGAGATCTTCTTTCGTTAGAATTATTGTGTGCCACATCAAAGCACCAACGGCTTCATTTAATACCTAAAATTATGAAAAAATTTTTTTTTTGAATGAGTTAAAATTGTAACAATTGAGGCATGAATTAAGGACGTCAAAATTTGCAACAATTTTCACTAATCACATAAAAATTGTCACCAGCGAGCGACTTACTTTTTCATGAATTTCAGATGTACTCTGAGCATCACAAAATGCAACTGTTGCAACATCTTTTAAAATTGGCATTTCAATGGAACAATCTCTACCATCTAATAAAGCTACAAGCGGCCGTGATTGTAGAGGGCCGTTTGATGATATAGGGCCGCGTACGGCATCAAGTCGTGGACGTTTTGGCATCATCTTTTATATAAAATTATTTTGTATCACTAAGCACTTTTAAGATATTAATATTATTAATTAAAACTTTCTTTTTTCTTTTCTTTTTCAGAAGTCTTCGAAATGAAATTTTTTGTTTAATCGCTAAAGTTCTTGCGTCTTCTTTTTTTTATCTTGTTTGTGTGTGTGTGTGTTTCTATCTCAATTTGTTTAAAAAGTTCAAATTTATTTTTTTATCACTACTGATTTTTTTTTGTGTTATTATTATTGTTGTTGTTGTTGTTTGTTGGGATCGTTGAGGATTTAAGTTAATGACATTTTAATAAAATCACTTTACTTTTCACGTTTCATGTTGCATATCATTTATGTTTAAAGCTGAAATGAGAAAAGGAAGAAGAATAAAATTAGTTAACAAGTTTGTAACAGAAAAAGTTTTTCATTTTTTGATTCTTCTTTCTCGACAATTTAAAGTTTCGCCATGAAAATCATTTCACAGACTTTTCATCTATTAAAGCAAAATTTTGTGTTGTGAATGAATTTAAGTACACATTTGGCGCGTAAAATTGCTAGCATCAAAAGAATATTTTTTTGTTCACCAAAAAAGAAAATTGTAAAAAAATTCAAATTTTTTTTCGTGGACATAAAAAATATTGAATTTTGTGTAATAAGGAAGAAATGTCCATGACAATGATAAAAATATGAGCAGCGGCATCATATTTTTTTATATACACATATAGACGAGAAGATGTCATCATTAATTTTGTTATCATTCTATCTCATTCATACTTGTGAGCTTGGATGATGAGTAATTTTTGAGTTTGCGTATAATTTGCCTTGTTATATTTGTTGCCTGGGATTCCGACATTCTGACACATTATCATGCCGGCTGTTTCCCCTCTCCCTTACTCTCTCGTTTATCGAAAAGAAGAACGAAAACTTTTTTTTATGGATGTGTTTGTTGGGAAAAGAATGAAAATATTTTTACAGAAGTTGAATTTTAATTTTCGTAAATTGTACTTAATGAAATCAATTTTTTCCGTCCTCATCCTCCAAAACGTATCCCATCTATCGCCTATCCACCAAATTTTCGGATGTAATGAGAAATTTTAATTGTATTTGTAAGGAATCATTCACAATTTATGGATGCTATAATATTAAATTTCAACATCCCCTTCCACCCTCTATCTATAATGGTATGCAGCACAGCCTATTTTAAAATCCAGACATAATTTGTGAACAACCCCACTATGTAAAAATAAATTTTTAAAGAACCTTTTTATAGGCATTAAAAATCGAAAGAGCAGAGCGAGATGGAATAAAGGTTATTATACCTCAACATAAGGCTTTAATATTCTCATCTCAAAATTGAATACAATAAAAATGAGAGAAAAGAAAAACTTTTTTTTTCCTTCACCGACGAAATATTTCAACTCGAAAAAGTCAGTAATAAACTTGTATAAAAATCGAAAACGACAAACGAAAAGTTTTTTGACAGAATCCGATAACTTTTTTTTTCTTTCTTCTATCCTGCTCACACCTATGAATGAATGAAGAATTTCCTTCTTCTTATTTTCTTACTCTGTGTATTATATAGAGAAATTCATGTAGATCTATAAGTTATAACGTAATGCAGGAGTTCTCTTTCTCACTCATTCACTTTTTCAATAAAGCTTTACAATGTTTAATGTCTGCTCGATTTTATGTGGAAAAATGTTGTGTTACGAGGGTGAAAAGGAGGGTTGGAGGGAGAGAGAGAAAAAACATGAAATTGGAGATAAATGAAAATATAATTTAAAGTAATTGAAAATAATGGAAAACTTTTACTTTAATGTGGGGAAAAACTTTTTTATTTTTGCTGTGTGTGAGGAAAATTTTCAATTTCTATATTACATCACTTCAACTTTTGTAAAAATGAGCAACTTTTTTGTTGCTGTTTAACTTTTTGTGGATGATTTAGACATACTTTTTTCGAGATTTCCTTTCAAATTAGGTTGAAATGTCACCAGATTTAATAAAAAATTAAAGAGCATAAAACTTTAGCAATTTAGTTTATGACAAGATTTTTCATCAATGTTAAGGATTTTAGCAACAACCCCCTGGACTAATAAATAAGAAGCTTTCACCAAAAAAATAAAAAATTTTAGCCATTTCGACGCAGAAAGAAAAAATCATATCATCCACACAGCATTTTATTTCTGTTCAGAACAGACACAGCTCAATAAATACGACTGCAAATATCCAAAATGACATTATCATCACGAATCAACCTTCATAAATAAAAGATTTAAAGCTGAAACCCAGAGAGAGTGAATTTATGTTGCTGTAGCTTAATATGTGTAGGATTTAGTAATTGGACATGTATATGTAACGCATTTATGGAGTCTTGAGATTGGTCGATGAACTGTTGAGAAAATTAAAATTTGGCGGGAAACAAAATTGATCAAAAATCAATTAAATATCAATCATTTAGCTTAGGTTAAGAAGTTCAGATTTTTCCATCTTAGATAACACTTAGTCTTAGTAGTTCCTGTTATTTACAATCATTCTTTTTCATATATGAGCTACGAAAGGTGCCAAGTTCTGGAAAATTCTACATCCAATACACAAATTCAATATCAATGAATCCTGACAACTTTCAATCGAGAATGAGCCAAAAAAAGAAAATTCTCCAGAAGAAAAACATTTTGTAATTCCAATAAAGCGATGGCTGTGTCAATAAGAGTAAAAAAAAATCTTCAAATTCAATACGACAAAAATAAATTGTCAAAACATATTTTTCGTCCTTAAAGTTCATTTCTTAAAGAGCATAGAGACATGCCTATAAAAAAATCATACGCATAAATGTCAACAACAATATTATGCAAACTTCTTTATTGGTCATAAAACATGAAGAATGAGAGCGAGAACAGGATGGCAAAATGAAACAACAAGAAGAAAATTAAACGGAGCTGAGTAGCATAAATTTAAGAGAAGCGAAAAATAAAATGTTTTCAACTCAAAGTTAACGTTTTCATCGGAAACAAGAAAACAGGAGTGAGTAAGAGCGAGAGAGAAGAGGGAAAGAATAAAGTTGAAACAGAAAACAGAAAACTTTTTTTAAAACAAAAATAAAGTTTTCTTGTTCTTTCGCCTGAAGAGCACAAAATTTTTGAAAAAGAAAAAGTTTTTATAACTTTTTTACAGCAAAAAAAAAAGCATATTAAAGAAAAACTTTTTTCGAAAAAAAAGAAAGTTGGAAAATGAAAAGTTTTCCGATCTCGAGCGAGGATTCTGGCATTCAAAACCCGAGCAAAGTGTGGGGATGAGAGGCGCAAAACTTTTCAACTTCTTTTCCCTTCAAAATTTATTGTGCGGCTTTTGTTTTGCAAGTTACGCGCAAGTATGAAAGAAATAGGACTCGGCGCGAAAAAAAAATTGGAAAGAAAAGAAGGCAAAAATCGTTGATGAACTTTGAAGGAAGCACAAAGCTGTGGAATGAGACATAGAACAAAAAGAAAATTTTCCCATCATGAGAATTGTCTTTAACGGAAAAATAAAGGATTTTTCCCTCGAAAAACTTTCTTCTTGTGCCTTTTATTTTCATATTCATAATTTATTCGTCTATCAGATTATATAAAACAGTATAGACATGGATGTTTGTGATCGACTAAAGCGCATTTTTCATAAATCATTTAATTTGAGATTCTTTTGTTCGAAATCATTTTTTCAGGAGCAGATTGAAAACCATAAATCACAATTCGGTCATTTTTGATCGGTTTCACACTGTTGGCATTAGTAAGCCTGTGTGCCAAAGTAAATTTCGATTCTATCAATTACATCAATCCAATATGACTAAGACTCCTACAATGCTTACAACAATCTAAATTGGGAGATCACAACAGGTCACAAAGTTATTTAAAACTAGACGGACTGGCAGGCAAAAACTTTAAGGAAAACTTTTGAAAAAGTGTGGTAATAAAAAAGTTGTTAGTTCTTTTATTGAACTCAATTTTAAATGAAAAAGTTTTGTATTAAACTAAATTTTCAAACTACCAAAACTATTTTTACGTGATGAATTATTAACAAATTTTGCAACACAGAGTAGAAAAAAAACATTTTCATTTTCATAATTTTTTTGTCGTATCCGAAGCGGTAAATTGTCCCTTAAGAGAATGAGCATTACCACATAGTAGAAAAGTTTTCAACTCGTCTTGACGGAAATAATACTTTAATGTAGAGCGAAAAGGAGGAATGAGGAAAGAGAAATGTTTTCGAGCATATGCATGTGCGAATGTGTATAAAAGGAAGAAGAAGAGAACTTCACTCTATCTTTAAACTGGATGAACTTTTCAACACATTTTCGAGATATTCAGTGCGTTATTATAATCGCTTTGATTCATTGTTTATCTGCTATTATACATTTTCAAGTTCATTCAAACGGATTTAGAGCTTCACACTGAATTGATTAACAACAGAAGCTTTCAGACATTTTTGTGGAACGAGTCACAAATTGTTGGTTCCATTAAGTGGAGAGAAAATATTTGAGTACGAATTACGACAGTAGTAATCATTTACATATTAGCACCACATCAATTTTGTAATAATATGTCTATCATAACTCTTATCATATTTACGAATGATATTAAAGATACTAAGAATTAGTCAAGGCGGGGACATTCATCCATAATCTCAAATAATCTCTTGTAATACTTAGATGACATAGCACTTTTGTAAGAATACTCTAGATTCTCGATTCTAGAATATTTGAAAGAGGTATATAAAGAATTAATTAATTTACATAGAGATGTACAGAGATGCCATGTAGGAGTTCGAGGTATTTTGGTCTGAGGATGAATGATGGAATTTGCTACATGTAACTCAGATGTTTGAAAATTGAACACGTGCTGTTTTAACAATATTCTCAAGTGTCCATAAGAAAGAACTACGTTACATATGTTTGTGTAGATTGTGGGTTCTATAGATCTAATGTCAATCTTTGCGCTTAGAGTTAAAATTCAACTCTGTAGTTGCCTTAAATTTAACGAAGTTTATATCATCAGAAACACAATACATTAGAATGCAACTAAATAAAGTAACACAATTCTCGCGTTTCCTCCCATAAAGTTCTTCGAAAAATGTACTTTAATTTAAGCCAACGTTTGCATCGCTTGTCAAAATTGATACATGAGACATTTGAGTCACAAATTACACGCAATATTGTGAAATTGATTGCGAACTTTATTAATAGCCAGCAATATTTCTTATCTGTTG